TAAAATCTTGTGGCTCGTTTCAGTGCTTCATCTTCTATGTAATCCTGATAGCCCTCGTAAATAGAGTAATTCTTGGGCACACGAGCTACGGGCTTCCATGGACTAGTAAATGGCACCAAACAAATAAGTGATGATCTTAAATCTTCACTCACTCCATCAAGAGCACTTATTGGTTCGAGATATTTTGCCATCATGACTCTTAATTTATTCCTGGCATGAAATTCAAAATCGTCTGGTATAATAAAATCAATCTCACTAACAGGAATTAAAGAATAAGAGTCAGGAAAATATTGATCAAGGAATGGAGGAGATGTCACCGCATTTGGAGATAGTTCACTGGATTCATTCACTTGAACCATTTGATGTTGGGGTCTCAATTCTTGCTCTTCAACTTTCTTTTCAACTACATCTTTAGATTCTTCTTCTCGAGACTCTTGCAGTACCATGTCATTTGTCAGAATAATTGCACTCTCATCTTCCTCATGGTCGATAATAGTCGGTGAGGACAATTCTTCATAAACTGGAGAAATCAATTTGCTCGTTTTAAATGCCCATTCAAGCCTTGCTTCTTTCATCTCTTCACTCATTTTTTGTGTCTCCTGTTGAAGTTGATGTACCTCCTGTTGAATTTGATATGTGTTAGTGGCTATTAATTCAACCATTTCTTCAAGAGACATACCTGACATGGATGACGGTTCTTGAGACTCTAGCTGTTGAAAATCTAGTGGCCCTGTTGTATAATTATAACTGGAGTTATCCCACCATGCTTGATCATACCCGTTTGGATTAGGGTTATACCACGTTTGAGACCATGGTGAAAAATCTCCATAATTATTGAGTGGGACACTCAGATTATCTTGATATTCGGGGCACATACCGGTCGAATGATCCCTGGCATAACAAATTTTACAGGTTGCAGCAGCCATTCTTTCTCTAATAGAGTTTACTGCCTCTGAATATGCAAACTTAGCAAAAAAACTAGTCTCATCGCCTTCCCCGGAAACAAAATCCAGTCTATCACCAAAATACGGAGTGTTAGAAGCCATAAACTATAATAAAAAAAATAAGAGAAAAATAAATAAAAAATAAAAAATAAAAACAAGATGAACTCAAAAAGAAACAAATTAATCTGGCACCAGTCCCCGGCAACAGCGCCAAAAATTGACAGGTGCCGAACCTGTGCAATAATAAATACCTGCTTAAATAAAATACAAATTCTGTATATAGCGGTAAGCAGGGTCGAATCCACAGGGACTGGAGATAATTTAATTTCTTCTCAAGTTCCAGATATGGGGGGTTTTGAAAATGATAGTAACTAAATTACTTGGAATAAATTAATTAAAATAAAATAACTACAACTCAAATAACTAATTATCACAATAAAAATAATAATGGACGAACTCTAGCCAAGAGACAACTTCGGAAATGGTTCACTTAATTCGATCACAGATGCAAGGATTATTCCAGTTACTATCTGATAAATTAGTTATAGTTGTCATACACGCGATAAACAACCAACTCTTCCTCAATTTGTCGATAGCCAAGGTACGACCGTTGACTATTTCTCTAATCAGGAAATAATCCTAGGTACGACCATAGAAGTTCAATTCCCTAATTGCATGAATAATTAGAAGAGGCTAATTCTAACCAATCAACACGCTACGAGGGTCTCTTTAAGTTAGCCTGCCTATCTCCCTGACACAAACCCAATCATGCCAGTTGCCACCAGTTTAGAATAATTAAACAATTACGGATTTAACTACCCTAATTGGCTTCAGGTTATTGAATTAATCTAGAATCCGGGCCCTGGATAATCGAATAATAAACAACCATATGAACATAAAGCAGAAGATAGACAAATACCAGTGAATAATGGGAATAAATAAAAACTAATTCGATCTCACAAATTTAGTAGAACCAAATCCTCCGTTGTTCTTGACTAGACAAACTTAGCCACGTCTCATGAGAAAATCTTCAAGTAATTCCATTGAGATCCAGGCCATCAAAAGAGCCAAGAAAGAAACGAAAAAACTAAAACTATCCTAAAGCTTCGATAAGAACTAAAGATAAAAAGTATTCATCCCCTCATCTCCATCCGTGTACTTGTTTTTAAAGCCAAAGAGGACTAATGCCTCTCCTAGTGCGTGGATCCCGCCGAATTGAGAGTCAAAGTCCAAGAAGGAAACTCTGCCGAATTGAGAGAAAACCAAATCCACAAGGTGGGTCCTGCCAAATTGCTTCTTGTTTCCCATCTCTGTACGTTACTTCTCTTAAAGGCCAAATGAAGAAAAAGCCTTTTCTCCTCTCGTGGTCCCCACCGAAATTGAAAGCCAAGGAAAGAATACAAAAGCTGCGGCTCAATTTTCTTTTTGTTTCCTTGGTTCCTAGGGCTCTCATAGCCCTTTCTTCATCAGCTCAATAAGGGCCAAAGGGAAATCCAATTGTTTCCTCTCTTGTGGGCCACGTTGAGTGAGCCTTGCAGAAGACTCCCATGTGTGCAGTAAATTGCTCAGAAAGCCCTTCCTTTTTTGTAGTTTCTGTTCCATTCCCTGAAATTAAATCCAAATACAAAATATAAGTAAATATTAATAATTAAAACAATATTTGGCAAGGACAAAGGGGAAATTAATAATAAAATAACCAACAATTAACACCCTATCATATCCTATTCATATATTCACACTCACACAAGTGTGAACGCTTGAAATTTTAAGTTTTGCAACAGTCTTCTCTTTTTAGGGGTGGGTATGTCTAAAATTTAGAAATAAAGTCAGAATGAAATTGAGAGATTGATTTATATTATAACACTATTAAGTGTTTTTTTCTTTTTTTTTGGTTTTCCAACTCCACGATTGGCCATATGCCTCCAAAATTTTGTGTACTACTTTGCATAAAAACTAGTATTTTGACCTGTGCGTTGCACAGCTTTATATAGGACGGAGGAAAAAATATGGCCAAACACAACATTCTCTCCTCTCTCCTCCTCTCTTTTCGATGTTCCTCCTACTTTCCACTACTATTATTTTCACTTTCTGAATCCAATTTTTTCGTATCCCTACAACCTTCTTTCGTTCCTTCATTTCCTATCCAATTTTCTTGTATCCCTACAACCCTTTCTTGTTCCACCAAATCCTATTTTCTCTTTGCTCTATCTCGCTCCCACCCAATTACCCTATCTCTTACCCAATTTTACAGCCACTTGTCTCCTATTCTACTACTATTTTCATCCATTTTTAAGTGTAAATGGTAACCTATTTACTTGGCTCACCTATTAACAAATGAGTTTGCATATGTAATTTAATTGGATTCAAATGGGTGATCAAATTAACCCATTAATTAGTGGGTATGAAATGGACAAATTTGGATCACTTATTTTGACTTAATTAAACTAGACGTAGATTCAAACTCAATCATTTCTGGGTAAATCTAAATTACTCTAATAATTATATTCTAAATTTTGCAAAGATGTATTCATCATTTTTTCTCGTCTTTAATTTCTATTATTTTATTTTTTAAAATTTATCCTACTTCCTCCATTTCTTTCATAAAAGTTTAATAAATTTTGTGACTGTTAATTGATTGTTTGCATTAATACCTAAATTATTTTTAGATTGTCGTAAAGTGACAAAATTTAAAACTCACTATGATGACCATTTTAGGCTCCTCTAAGTAATTTTTTTTGTTTTTTTCTCTTTCTTTAGGTAAAAATTGATTTATTAACTTGATATATTGATATGATTTACTATTTTGTTGTTAAACAAAATGTGGATGAAAAAGTAAATAAAATTTAGTAGTGGGCCGAGAATGGGTGATTGGATAATCCAAACCCATATAAAACTATATTCATTGACGACTCGTCTATTTTGAACCATTCACTAAATAGGAATATATAGGTTAGCCTAATTATAACTTTTTTTTTATTTTTATTTTAAAAAAATACCTTATTTTATTGATTGGAACCGGAGAAGTACATGCTATGATAAAACGATGAAATACATAATTTCAGCCACCCGCAAATTCAAGACACCTATCCGGGTTGCCATCGCAAGGAGGGGAACTCGCGGCTGTCTAAGTATACCGTAGCCCGTACTAAATGCGGAAGCTGAGGGAGTGAAGTGCAAAATAATTTTGACGGCAACCGCAACCCGGTGAGCGCGTCCGCCGAAGCGTTTGCCTCTCTAAAGACGTGGGATACCGTTGCCGAAAGTGAGGAAAGCAGCGCTTGGATGCGACGCAATGTGTTACACAGAGGCCAACGAGACATTGCTCCCGCATTGAGTAGATCAACCAGGCTCTTAGAGTCCACCTCCACCAGCAGGGGCCCCCTGACTAGGTCCCTACAATGCTGAAGGCCATGCAGCAACAATGAACTTTCTGCCATCAGGACGTCCAATTCCCCGAACTCCTTGTAAAAGGCAAAAATTAAGCGGCCGTCCGAGTCGCGAAGCAACCCACCCCCATACGCACGCTTGTGAGAGACACTAGCATCCGTATTCAATTTGACATGGTGCAACGGAGGGCGTTTCCAAGACACCGCCTGTGCAGTTTTCCGTTTCATTGGTCGGGTGCACAGTCCGACCCATGGGTCTCTCATGTCTCCCCGAAAATGACATGCCAAAAGTTTTGTTGCCGCTTCCAACTGCTTCACAAATCCGTCGACCGAAGACACCACCCTACGAGCCTCAAATATCTCACCCTTGAAGAGCGCCCTGTTCCTAGCCTTCCATAGGAACCATAGTATTACTAAAGGAACGACGGTCCTGATATGATCACGAGATACCAGCGAAGTCGAGCTGAGCCATGTCAAGACCATCACAGATACCGATGAGGAGCGAGGATCAATAATCCCAAACCTCTGACAAAATGAGCTCCAAACCTCCCTTGCTACAGGGCCAGTTACGAAGAGATGAACTAGTGACTCTTCTTCCAACAGGCAACATGGGCAGCGTGATGCCAGGGGAACTCCACGTCGTTTCAGAACCATCTCCACGGGGACCAGGCTACGTAAAACCTTCCATGCGAAGAATGATAACTTCAGTGGCACTATGCTTGTCCAAAGGAGCCCGTCTAGTAGCGAGGTGTTGCGTTTGTGCCGAATTCTGGATCTGATTAACCAGCTGAGCAGGCACCCATTGCTCTAGTCTCGCTACATTACAACCCCTGTCATCAAAGAACTCTGCGAGCAGCATGTGTGGCGGGTCATTAATGGAAAGGAGGTCGACCAGAGGGACATCAAATAGTCAACGATCATACCACAGATCTACAAATCCTTTACCCACGCACCACCTGATGTGACTCTCTGCTACCCGTCTAATTCCCTCCAACCGCCTCCATGCAGCCGAAGGCCTGACCACCTGCACTTGGAGCGGGTGCTTGCCTCTAACATATTTGGCCTGCATGAAGTGCGCCCATAACGATTCGTTTTTCCTCAACCGCCACCATAGCTTACCGGCGAAGGCAGAGCTCATGTCTTCAAAGGAGCGAAAACCCAAGCCACCCTCAGAAACCGGGTAGCAGATCTTTCCCCAAGAAGTCCAATGGATGCCCCTCACTCCAGTGGGCTTATCCCAGAGAAAAGCATTACACAACTTTCCCAGCTTGAGCAAAACTGCCCGGGGGGGTCCAACACTTGCAGCAGGTACATAGGCATCGAGGTAAGAACATGCCGCAGTAGCACCAATTTACCTCCTGACGAGAGTAACCGCGAGCTCCAATAGGTTAGACGGGCCTGCACCTTAGCCACAAGGGAGTCAAACGCACGTCATTCTTCCCTTGAAGACTGGGGCCCCCAGATACGTGAACGGCAGGAACTGTTGCTGGAAGTGCAACGTTGAGGCCACGACTGTCCTATGTGTAGGGGATGCCCGGGTAGACAAAATGAAGTCTTCTGACCCGAGAAAGCCTGGTAAGAGTCAAAGAACGTCTTGAGAGAAGCCAACCCCTCCTCAGAGCACCGGGTGAAGACCAGGGTATCATCCGCAAACGCCAAGTAAGGGACCCGCAACCCAGGGGAGATGAAGAAATGACTCTCATCTTGACAGTGGAGAGAGCGGGTCGCCTTGTCGAACCCCCCTAGAGGATTTGAAGAATCCTGCCGAGGATCCATTGATTAGCATCGAGAACCAATTGTTTGATAGCGTCCGAAAGAGGAGATCTACCCCCCACTCCTGAAACCCAAACTGTCGGAGCATAAATATAAGAAAACTCCATTCTACCCTGTCATACGCCTTCTCCATATCTAGTTTCAGCATCAGGTTTGGGCATCGCAGCTTCCTATCAATATCCAGTGCCAGTTTCTGTGCCACAAGGATATTATCAGCAATACTCCTGCCTGGGACAAAACCTGATTGCCATGGTGAGATAAGTTTAGGGAGCAGAAGGTTGAGGCGGTTTGTCAGCACTTTGGAGATAATCTTGGAGCTTTGATTACACAAGCTGATCGGTCTGAACTCCTGCCATTTAGTCACCCCCGGTACCTTTGGGATTAACACAATCAATGCACTAGAGAAGCCTCTGGGTTGAGGGGCCCCCTTGAAGAACTCCTGAACCGCTTCGAGAAGCTCACGCTGTCACGCTGGATTATTGGCCAATACTCTTGGTAGAAACCTGCCCCGAATCCGTCTGGCCCCGACGCACTATCTTTTGACATCGAGAAAACTACCTCTTTTACATCCTGCAGGAACGGCAACTGCTGAAACATCAAATTGTCCTCATCTGTCAGTGAGGGGAGCGGGAAGTCCAAGCTTGGGGTAGTCCGGTCCTCCCGGTCCGACGTGAGCAGCTTCTCAAAGTATTGCACTGTCGAAACTCTGATCTCCTCCTCATCTTCTAGCTAGTGACCCGCATCGTCCCTCACCATTGAGACAAAATTGACACTCCGTCGCTGCTTCAAGATCGAGTGAAAGAACTTGGTATTGGCATCGCCCTGCTGAATCCACTTAATTGCCGATTTCTACCTCCAGTACTCACATTCTACGCCTAACGCTCGGGCGTATTGTGCCTGAGCCTCCCCCAACTGCATCCGAGAGATGTCATCGCGAGTCGCGTCAAACATCTCCTGATGATACAACAAGTTTTCCTCAGCCACATGTACTGCCTGAAAGATATCTCCAAACGACTGCCTGCTCCAGCCGCGGAGTTTACTTTTAACATTCGACAGCCGTTGGTAGAAACCGAGCATACCCCCAGCGTGAACAGGAACTTGCCAAGCGTCCCGGACCACACCCATGAAGCTCGAATGTTTGGTCCAGACATTAAGGAAACGGAAAGATGAGCTATGTGCCTTGTGCAAGCCACATTTGACAAAGAGAGGAGCATGGTCAGATCTACCTCGCACTAGGTGGGACACTTTCGTCACATCAAAAGTGTCCATCCAGGCTGTGTTCGCAATAGCCCGATCCAAACACTGCCTACCGTTGGTCCAGGAGAACAGGGGGCCATCAACAAGCCCACAAGAGAAAATGGCCTCGTTAAAATCATCCATATTGCGCCTGTTTGGTGGGGCCCCGCCAAACCGTTCGCTGGCATTAGAAACCACAGTAAAGTCTCCCGCCATTAGCCATGGACCTGGAAACCTCTCACGGACATCCTCCATTGCTTGCCATAAGCTCCGCCGACCCACTCTTGTACATTTGGCATACACCGCCGACACCTGGAGAGAGTAACCTACCCAAGAAATCTCCATATGTACCAACTGGTCCCCCAACTCGTGAGCCTAATTATAACTTGCTCAAACTCACATAAATCATCTAATTTGATAACTCTTCCTTAATCTTTACCTTCTTTAACCCTACAGTCCTATCTTTCTAATCCTTTCACTACTTAGGATTCATCATCTCACTTTTTAAGTGTTTTTGGACATATAAAAAGTTAGAATTATTTTTCCAAGTTGCTGCCTCATTTTTAAGTGTTTTTAATCTAAAAAGCTAGAATTGCAATCATCGAGAAAAAGTAAACTTTCGGATGTAAATTTGGTGAAATACAACCTTTTTATCATCAAAATTCTGCTAAAATACCACCAAAAGTAACCTTCTAGATACACCTTTATTAATTTAAAATTCATAAATAAATTTTTCTTTACATGCACTTTTTGGTGTACATGTGCTAAATGAAAAGTCATCTAGATGCTTGCACGATATTAATATTGAGTTTATTCTAAGTGCAAATAAAATATCATAATTGTTATTTACATACTCCAATTTAATGTTAGAGTATAATTTCAACACTCAAATTTTAAAACTTTAAAAAACAAACCTACTGAATAAAATCCAACATAAAAATTATAAAAAGTAAACCTATTAGAGTTCCCTAAACTTGTTGAATATAAAAGAAAAATGATAAGTTTAAGACTGCAATAAAATTGTAACATAAATTAATAAAACATAAGAGTAATCAAGTATATCATTAGAAAATGTTGACAAATGATTATTGTACTCAGAAGGAAAGCAATAACTGAAAAATAGGACTAATCACATTATCTCGAGGATTTGGCTAGATAAATTTATCCTCTTTAATGAAGGAATAAAAGGGGCTAAAGTGATAAAGATATAATAGGGTGAATAATTTTAAAATGAGACTAACCAATTATCCCTGAGAATTTTGGCTTGACAAATGTATTTTATTTAATTAAGGAATCAAAAGGACTTAAAGTATAAATAACAAACTATAAACGGTTTATGAAGGAGATAGTGGAAAAGTTTTAAATTTTAAATTTGACTAGTGATAGGATTAGTTATAACCCACTATTTTAGAGTTTTTAATTAGATTTTATGTATTAAAATAAATACAAAAATCTAGAAAAAAGAATGGGAAGTTTGGAAGTCATTGAGAGAGTCTCTGCTAAAAACCCTCTCTGCAATACATATAGACTAGTGTGAATACCCGTGCTACGCACGGTGCCGACATTATTGAAAAAAATAAAAATAAAATGGTGAACAAATAAAGGTGAAAAAATTGTACCAACAAAATTAAAATGTAATATATGTTTAACAATAGTTTGAAATATAATAGAATGTGTATATCATTCAAGAATTGTCTTTTTTTGGAAAATGGATCCTGAAAAAAAAAATAAAAATTTATATTAAAAAAGGGAATGATATATTTCTTCAAATGAATGTGAATGTTGTTAAAATGAAATACTTACAAATACTAAGCATTTGATTTCACACACATCGTTTCCACTTTCCATTTTCGCTAAATTGCTGCTGTTTAAGTAGCAACAGCATGGTCGATGCATAAATCATGCCTTTAATGGGTCTTTTGGAGCATGTGCTTGTGATTTTGTGTTTATACTTTATCCCACTGTTGAGTATCTTTGCTTTACGGTGTAACAATAAGCAAACGACCGTTCATAGGATTTTGTAAAAAAATTTCAGAAATAATGGATGATCAGAAAATCAATGCAATATCATTCATGACAAAAAGCAAATCAAAAGCAAAACATACTTAAAAGGCAGAGGGGCAGAGGGGACTGACCTAGAAAATTAAGTCGGCAAGAATATACTTCTAGTTCTCCGCAAGAAGGTTGATTTCCGCTGAAGTTTCTACACATAATCTCATCCATAACTGCTCACAAAAGAAGCAAAATCAATACATTTACAAAATCAATAGAGAACCAAAAACAAATAAGAAACTGAGAGAGAGGGTGGGGGAATTGGGGATGGAATTCTTTGGAGGAGTTTTAATTTGGGTGGAATTCTTAAATTGGAGGACTCTTAATTGGAGTGGGAAACGTGGGAGGAAATGTAGGGGAAACGTGGGATGATGATTAGAGGATTTGTAGGAGTGGTTGTAGGATGAATTAAGAGATAGTTGGAGTGGACTCTTAATTGGAGTGAGAAACGTGGGAGGAAATGTAGGGAGAAACGTGGGATGATGATTAGAGGATTTGTAAGAGTGGTTGTAGGATGAATTAATAGATAGTGAGAATATTTTAAATTTAAATTTGATTGGTGATAAGGTGGGTTATGACCCACTACTTTTTATGTATTAAAATAAATACAAAAATTTAGAAAAAAGAATGAGAAGTTTAGAAGCCATTGAGAGGGTTTCTGCTAAAAACCCCTTCTTGAATACATATAGATATAGATTTTTACTTGAACTAAGAAAATTATACGTAAACAAACCCAAATACATGCACATTCGAAATAAAAAGAGCATGCGCATTATTTACAACATTATCTCCATCTGTGTATAGAATATTCAAACTATGCCTGCCCATTACGTTAAATCAAATCTTCCAAAGTTAATCACAACCAATTTTATAATCAATAACCAAGGGAAAAGAAAATTAACAACAAATACTCTACATGTGTTTTCTACGTTTAGTTCTATTGTAGATACCAAATGCTAATACGTACTATAACGCACTAATATGATTGATTAATAGTAATGATTCCAACCTATTATATATATTCTTCAGCCTGTTTTATTATGCTGTAACTAAATTCTTTTTAATTGAGTAGTAAGTAAAGACAATGCTCCCTTAAAGGCTCAAACAATAAGCACCCGAAATTGTCATCATGGAAATCACTACTGATATATATATATATATATATATATATATATATGCTCAACCAGCAGCAATTGAGGGATTATTTAGTGAAGTGCTAAACTAACCTTTACTCACCTAATTCATTGAGTGTTTACCAGTTTTCAACAACGTACTATGATTTCATTTATAGGTAGCTTTTAATCGGCATGTTTTCCTTTACTTTTCTTTTTTAATGCTAAATGGCATCTTGTAAAATTTGAAGAAAAACTAAATGATATGTGGTTAGTGGGTTCAATACTAAAGAATGAGTTTCAAAGTTAACTAGTCTCCGAGCAAAGTCATGAAGGGACTGGAGACCCTACATTTTGTGGACAGTAGTCACTAGTCATGCTGCTCCAGGAGCTTCTGTATGTGCCGTATCAGTTGACTTAGTGGACCAAATTAAATTAACTTCAAAAATTGCTCTTTTTTGTGTTTCGTATTATCTTCTTTTTTTTTTTCCGAAACGATAAGTGATTTTATAGAAGACCAAAAACTTTACAATTTCAAGTAAAGACTTGAGGGAACTACACAGTCAGTGCTAACTATCACTGAGGAATCCAAAATTCCTGGTCAACAAAAAAGTCTAGCGCATGAGTGCAAATTCTATGAATAATATGGTTAATATCCCTATTAACTAGGCAAAAGGAGCACATGCGAAACAGGTACTTAAGGCTATGTATATCCTCCAGCAATGTTACCACTCGCATATCTGAAGATTTTGTCTGCTGGATGAGGTGGAGTGTCTGCTTATTCTGGACATGAACTTCTAACCTCTCCAACTTCTGTACAGTAGCTTTACACATTAGTAGCTTAATTGCAGTTAGTTCATCAATTAGCTTATGGCCAGAACATCTTTCCTGTAAAGCCCATCCTCTCATCAGTTGTTGATTATCTAAAGAGACAGTTGCTCCAGTCCCTATTTGGGGGCTGTCCTTGCTCTTTTCTATAGCAAACCTTAATCTCAGAATGCTTTCTGTTTCTTCTTGTTGCTGGGGGGGTTGCGGTTGTTCTCCTGTTTCTTCTGTACTCATCTTTAAGGCTATGACCGTAGCTTCACCATATTCCAACCATTCCTCCTGAGCTTTCTGCACTATTCGTAGTGGGGGATGCTGCTTACTTTCAAATTCCTTCACGTTTCTGCTTTTCCAGATCTACCAAAGAATGTTAGCCGTGAGAGAAATGTGTTCATATCCCTCACTTCTCGACCTCGCCTCCATTACCGAGGTCCACCACGAACTAAAACAACCTTGCAGATTTGTAATTCCCTCCCATTGGATAGGTGCCATTCTCCACACCAGTTTAACATGATTACAATTAAGTAACGCATGTTCAACCATTTCACAATCTTCTCCACACACTCTACATGTAGGATCACCTTGTTGTGTTCTACTGTGAATGAGGTGTCTTACAGGTAATGCTTGGTTGAGACATTTCCATAAGAAAAGCTTCACTTTATGCTTAATATTCAGTTTCCACAGGTGCCTCCAAATTTTCTGACCTTGGATACTCGAACTAGTACTAGCTGGCCCCCTGACCTCCTACTCGTAAGCCTTCAGCCATTTAGTTTGGACCCTGTAGGCTGATCGCATTGAATAATGCCCATTTGAATTGTGAATCCAGAAGTTGCTGTCCTCTTTGTCGAGTAAGCTAATGGGGATGCTTAGTATTCCTTCTACCTCCATGGGGGTGAAATTCCTAAAGAGAAGGTTCTTGTTCCATTTTTTCTGGACGATCAAGTCTGCCACCTTAACCAAATTAACTCCTTGTGGCTGCTGTGTTGTCACTCTTCCATTTGGTGTCATAGGAATCCAGCTGTCCTCCCAAATGTTAGTACTCAGGCCATTACCAATCCTTTTTCGAGTTCCTTCTTCAACCATCAGCCTAGCTCGCATCAGTCCTTTCCAAATCCATGAAGCATTCCCAGCAACTTTACACTTGAATATAGATTGCTTTGGGTGATATCTGGACTTTAGCACTCTGCTGACCAGCAAATTTGGTTGAGTGAGTTGCCTCCAAATCTGCTTTCCCAATAAGGCTAGATTGAAAGCCTCTAAATCCTTGAAGCCTAAGCCACCTGCTTGCTTGTCCCGCGATATCTTGTTCCAAGCTTTCCAGTGCATCTTGTTCTTCCCATTCTCCTCACCCCACCAATAGTTGGCCATTGTGGAGTTAATCTCCTTGCACAATTTTTTAGGTAGCTTGAAGCAAGACATTGTGTATGTTGGCAGTGTCAATGCCACAGACTTGAGCATAATCTCTTTACCTGCTGCACTCAAAAGTTTATTTTTTCACTTTTTTAGTCTCTGTTGAATACTGGATTTAATGTATCCGAACAGCTGCTGTTTAGATCTTGTTACCACCATTGGGAGACCCAAGTATTTTCCTTGGCTTACAACATGGATATTTCCTAGAGCTTGGCTGACTTCCACCTTCCTTTGCTGCTGCATATTGTTGCTGAATATGACTGAGGATTTTTCCAGGTTAATCAGCTGGCATGTTCCTCTTTCATATACGTTAAGTAACCTTTTGAGCTCTGCTGCATTCTGGGAATCAGTTTTACAAAATATCAAAGAGTCATCTGCAAAAAATTAAATGGGTTAGTCTTGGTCCCTGCCTGCTGATTCTCATGCCTTCAATTTTTTTTCGCAGTCCCAGGCTTTTGGAGGAGATTGGAAAAGCCTTCCGAGCATAGGAGGAATAAGTAGGGTGACAGTGAATCACCCTGCCTAATGCCCCTTTGTGGCACCACATACTTCTTGACTTCGCCATTAACCAGGAACGAGTAAGAAGCAGTAGAAATGCACTCCATGATCCAGCTTCTCCATTTGTCATTGAACCCCATTTTCCGCATTACAACTTCCAGGAACCTCCATTCCACCCTGTCATAAGCTTTAGACATATCTAATTTCACAGTCATAAATCATTCTTTTCCTTGCCCTTTGTTTTTGAGATAGCGTAAAAACTCATGGGAAATCATAATATTGTCTAAGATTTGCCTCCCAGGAACCAAAACTGACTGAGTTTTACTGATACAGAAATGAAGAACCTGTTTCAACCTATTAGCTAGAATCTTTGCTATGATTTTATATACAGTCGTGCACAAGCTAATAGGTCTATAGTGCTTAAGGGATGTGGGAATCAAAATTTTAGGAATGAGAGAAATGACTGTATGATTTACAGACTTGAGCAGATGACTAGTGTGGAAGAATGTTTGGACAGCACCTACCAAATCCTTTTTAACTATGTTCCAAAACTTTTGGAAAAAAATGGAAGGCATTCCATCTACACCCGGAGCTTTATCAAGATTCATAGAAAAGAGAGCTGATCTAATCTCCTCTTCATCTACAGGTTTTGTTAGGTTATCATTCATACTACCTGAGATTGTGTGTGGAATACCATTTAACACTTCCTCCATATCATTTGCGTCTGAAGTCTTGAAGAGTTCTCTATAATAGCTAGCAATCTCTACACTGAGCTCATCTTCATTCTTAGTCCATGTGCCATCCTCTCTCTGGATGTTGACCACTTTATTCCTCCTCCTTCTCCCCTCCACAATCTGCTATTTTTGTCTCCTGCCTTGAGCCATTGCACCCTTGCTTTTTGACCCCAGTAGATCTCTTCGTCTCTATAAGCCTCTTTCAATTCATTCTTAAGACTCTTCTTCCTCACTCGCTTCGCCTCAGTATCACACAGATTTAGTTGCTGCAGTTGGCCCTTGATTTGCTCTATCTTTTGTTTTGAATTGCCTTGGATTTTACTGTTCCATTTCAGTAGATTAACTCTACTCCTTTTCACTTTTTGCACAACCTTGAACATCCTTGAGCCATTGTCCCTTTGGTCCCACGCCAGTTTGACAATATCCCAAACTTTATCTCGCTGGAGCCACCTTTTATTAAAATAGAACCTCTTCTTTCTCCTGATTTGTGTTGGATTTGTCTCTATAATCAGCATACTATGATCTGACGCAAATGAATCCAAGTGTTTACACTTAACCTTATCAAAAATTTGGAGCCAAGGATAGCTACATAAATCTCTATCCAGTCTTTGTTTTATCTCACCCGCACCTGCCCAATTATTACACCAGGTCCAAGGATGACCCTCAAAACCAACATCCATCAATTGATTATCATTGATAAGGTTTTTGAATGCCATGAAGCTGCCTTCGTCCCTCCAGGTTCCACCCCATTTTTCTTCATTCGAGACAATGTCATTAAAGTCACCGGCCATAATCCATCTTTCTCCCCACAAAACTTTCCTAGCTTGGAGTACTTGCCATTGCTGTTTCCTAACTTGATCATCACTGCTCGCATATATACCAATAAACCACCAATCCCATCTACTTTTCTTATCCTCAATCTGAGCTTCAATTGTAAAGCCAGTCTTGAGCACTTGTTTTATCCTAATCTCCTCCCTCCAAAGAAATGCCATCCCTCCTGCCTTGTTCATGGCATCCACGATGACAGCTTCATCAAATCTCAAAATATTTTTGACTTTTTCCAAATACTTACTTCTATTTTTGGTTTCACATAAGAACACTATGTCCGGAGAGGAGAGGTTGTTCACCTCTCTCAACTGGGGAATTGTCAAGGGGCTCCCCACTCCTTGATAATTCCATAGCAGGACTCTCATTTAGCCATTGGGGTCTATAAAGGGTTGGACCCCTCCCCCTCCTCCATAGGAGCGATCAAGTTATCCATAAGATCCACCTTGCTCCTCTTACCCTCCTGTATGATGTCCTCATCAATATCCATATCAAGTTCCCTCTTGAACCCTTTTCTTTTCCTAGTTTTCCTTTCCCTAACTGTGTTGATGTTCACTGTTTCCTCTGGTTGCTTAGGTGTTCTTGGGGATCTTAGGGTTCTCTGGATTCATCTGGACTGTTTAACTAAAGCTTCTTTGATCTTTGGTCCACCCTCAACAGTTATATTTGTAGTTGCAACACCTGGTGTTGCATCCTTCTGTTCTTCATCCCATGGGATTTGGATTATCAAGTTAACTTGTTCATCCTCTATCATTGGACCTTCAGAGGCTGGTTTGACTGAGAGCTGTTCTTCTGGTTGAGATATCCCTGCATCTGAGCTCGGCAATTTGGGTTCGAGATTACCCCCTTTGATTGTCCTATGTGTAGAATTTCCGTTAACTCCGAACCCACTTTGCTACCAGATTCATTAAGCTTCTCTGAGTGTACTCTCACATCTCCTATCGAACCACTCCCCTGGCCATCCTGGCCCCTGCCACTGCTTGTCACCAACCCCGTATCAGCCACAAGCTTCCTAGCTAGACCACTTTCATTGTCAAGTTGAGATTCCAAGGCTTTTTCTAGGCCCTCTGATTGCCTTTGCTCCCTCCACTCCCCATCTTGAAGTCTCCAGTGATGTTTTTGGGGGTTGTACACCGTACCAACTTGTTGCTTGTGCTGGGAACTCCTCACATTGCCTATCCTTAGCCAAGGGCCATATTGGTTATCCTTTTTCCCCACCCCCTTGTCATCTTGCCTCTGACAATTTCTCTTACTGTGTCCAATGATACCACACTTATAACAAAAATCCGGGCACCTCTCATATTTGAAACTAGCCCATTTAGTTTGTTCACCCACCTTGACAATGGTACCTCGCAGTAGTGGCTGTGAGATGTCTGCCACCACCAAAAGTTTCAGGTGTCTTCCTTCTTTCCCACCAGTTTGAGGGACAATTACCTCTCTTACCGACTGAAAGTTTGAACCAAGCCTTCTCCCAGCTTCCTTTGACATCCAATGGATTGGCAAATTGCATACCTGTACCCATAAGGGAACTGACCTGAACGCCTCAGCATCCTCCTCAATCCCTTCATACCACTCGCTTAGCACCAGCACTTGGTTGTCCACTATCCACGGTCCACCAGTCAGAATCCTGTGTCTATCATTTGCTGAAGGTAAGATGAATTGGAACAGATTGGGTCCTAGCTCCACCACTTGTAGTTCTCTTGGGAAGCTCCACGCAGCTATCACAAAGTTCTTGATTCCAGTATAGTTCGATACTTTCTCTCCCACGACCTTCCCAATCAAGCTACTTCTACACTCTTGAACCCCCCACCTATTTCCTCATGTCCTAGGGTAGTGGTTTGGAGCTCTGCACTTGAGAGATCAAAGTTTTGCAAAATCTCAGCCAGTTCCTCCGCCATGGGGAAGATAAATCAAATGGTATTCCACACACTTCCCTTCGGGTAAGAAAGCTAACCTAGATGTAAACCAAAAAGGGCGGATCTACTATATACTACCAGAACAAAGCTAAAAAGGAAAAGAAGAGCTAAGATAAACTAAAAGATGATAGCTTGGGAAAGCAGAATATGGATATGAAATTACCTGTCCCATCTCGTATTGGTTTCCAAGGGGTCTGGATGCAGTAAAGCAGATCTGCGGTTAAAGAGACTTGAGAGTTTGTTTTTTTTTTTCCTTTTTTTTATTTTTATTTTGTTATTTTGCATCTTCCTCCTATCGCTTCAGCTTCGCCTGCTCCTTCCTCTGTTTCGATACGTACAAATTCTTAGTGACTCGAGGTTTTGTTTTTGTCTCCGACAGTGGATTTTGTCCGCCAGTTGTTACCGCACTCGAGCCAGATATAAGGGTTGTTGGTGCTGGTCAGCAGTTGTAGATCCGACAGCCTTTAAATTCCTAAGCTGCTGAAAGAAGTCCAAAAAGACAGGTAGTGGCAGAAATAAGTGCACCAATAGCAGAGTTCCTTGAATGCGTTGAAAGTGAAACCTTCCAAATTTAGCTTTTTGAAGCTTGTCTGAAGCTCCCACCACAGGGAGGGAAAGCTCTCTTTAGAGAGAGAAATGCCTCCACTAGAGAGAGGAATGACATTGCAGACCTGTATTTCATATTATCTTCGATAATCATGATTGCAGGTTGATGTCAGTTGAAATGTCATCAAATGTAAATCAATGGATAATTTTTCGTGGCTGCTAAATTAATTTTGAAGCATTTATCAATAATAGAGTTACACTCTGAGGATTATATGGAGAAATGTTAAAACTTCAATCAAGATCTCCCACTCATATGAGGTTTCTGTGTTATGGACCCATGTACCCTTAAAAGAGGAATAGCATGCTTTCTCTTCGTTCCCAGATTCTCTTTGTTTTTGCACACAGCAAACTTTAAGGCCAGTGATTGACAACACCATGCCCAAGTATTTATATGGATAGTAAATTATGTGAAATCACAGAACGTGGGTTCATAGTAAATTATCCTGAACTAAACAATGTGGAAGTTTCGAATTTATTTCGTAGGATAATGATATTGTACGTTTTAATTGATTTTGTAGTTTTAGATTATGAAGGCAATTTTGCTGTCTAAGCTTCCATTTCAACGTGTCCTTCTGTATTTATACGTTCCAAATCATGGATAAGAAACATTTCCACCAACTGAAGTTTTCCGAGGAAAAGTTCACTAAAATGCCAAGAATTTCGTGAAGAATATTTGCTAAACACTTTTTGTTTCTTTGCATACAATAAAGTCATAGACTGCACATAAGTTTTTCCAGTATTATATAGTTGATCAATGCTGAATCATGAAACTAGTCCTCATTATACAGTAATGCACACAAAGAATTTCAAGAATGGTGATGGCAGAATCTCTCTCTCTCGCCTGACCACACCTTCATTCAAATGGAAATGACCTTCCATCAGCCAGTTATGAAACGGAATAAAATTTATGGAATACATATGCATTGATTCAAGATATGAGAAATTTTGGAAACTATGCTACAGCTTCCAAAATTGTTGGATGAATTGGAAATAGACTTTTCTGGGAATTGTTTTATAATCTAAGCCAGAAGCAAGGGATATGCTTTATGATTCCCTAACGTTTAAGAAATTGACAAATAATTGAATCAGATATCATTAGTGAAAACTACACATTCACATTCAAGGGTTGATTTTGAAAAACCACATTAAAAAATTCCACGAGTTAATAATACATGTTGACTTGCAGTCATACAACACAACAATTTCATTTCAACTCATAAGATCTGCACTAATGGCAGAAAATACAACAAACGTTCAACAGATGCAAGGAAGAATTAACAAAGATTACATGTGCTTTCGGTTTATTTAAAGTGAACAGATTGGCATGTATTTCGTAATATTTCGGATGATTATAAAAGATGATACATATTCGATCCGAACTATTAATTTACCCGCAAGAATTTGAGTTTGATCTTCTTCACTGTTTCAAGAACAACTTTCATACTGAGTCTGTCAGTTGGAGATTCACGAACACATTTTAAGGCCAATTCCATGATGGATGAAAAACACTCCAACTTCTCAGTGAAATTTTCATCCTCATGCTTCAACAACTTAGCATCAATAACTTGAAGAATCGAATCAGGCAGAGAATCATTTATCCAACTCTTCAAGTTCAAATTTCCCACAAACATTTCATCGTTAGGCTTTCTTCTTGAAAAAACTTCCATCAGCATGATTCCATAGCTATAAACATCGCATTTTGCTGATATCAAACCCTCAGATCCATACTCTACAACCAACATTCAAATTGAACAAGTATCACATAAAAGAAGGCAAAAAGAAACTAAATGCTGTACAAACATTTAGGATTAAGATTGAAGAATCATTACCTGGAGCAATGTAGCCAATTGTAGCTAAGGTCTTGGTCCATGCAAAGCTTTCATCCTTTTCCAGCATTTTTGCAATACCAAAGTCGCTGACGTGGGCAACCATATCCTCATCAAGTAAGACATTACTGGGCTTCAAATCACAGTGAATCACAGGCGTCAAATATTCTTCGTGGAGATATTGCACTGCACTTGCCACATCTATCATTATATTCAATCTCTGTAGAGTATCCAAGAAATAGTTGTCAGAATGCAGCCGCTTCTCAAGGCTTCCATTGCACATGTATTCAAGCACCAAGGCCCTAAAATCCTGGTTCCAATAACCGCTGATGACCTTCAAAAGATTTCGATGGCGATGGTTCTTCAGGACTTCACACTCTACATCAAAGCTCTTGAGCACTCCTTCCAGTTCCAAATTGAAAACCTTTACAGCAATAGACCTTCCATTATTGAGAATCCCCTTGTAAACAGATCCAAAACTCCCAATGCCAAGCACATTGCTTTCACTGTACCCACCAGTTGCTCGAAGAAGATCATAGTACGAAACTCTTTCTTGCGTTGGCACTAATACCATGTTTGTTCCTTTAGAATCCCGATAATTCTTCCAATATCTTCTGAAGACAATTGCTAAGGCTGCGACAACCACAGAAACGATTCCCAGAGGAGCAAATACATATAGAAGCACCTTTTTGGTTCTTGACCTGTGAATTGAATTAGTTATTGGGCAAGGCGGCACATGAAACCTGGAATCTCTGCACAATGCATCATTGAAGAGAAAAGATTCAGTGGTAAAGTTCCTAAAGCGACCACCAGAAGGAATTTCACCACTTAAATGGTTATAAGAAACGTCAAGCTCTTGGAGGTCCCGAAGTGCCTCCATTGACTTTGGTATGAAGCCAGAAAGATTGTTGTGCGATAAGTAAAGTCCTTGCAAGCTGAGCATCTTGCCGAATGACTCTGGGATAGATCCATGAAATTGGTTTTGGGATAAATTTAAAATCAACAGGTTTTGCAAATCACCTGTTGTTCTGGGAATGTCACCAGAGAATTGATTCGCTAATACGTCTATAAATGTTACAGCTTTCAGAGTTCCAAGTTCAAGGGGCAAGGAACCATTTAGGGAGTTTGAGGATAAGTTCAACTGCAAGAGATCTTTGAGTTTCCAAAAACTATTAGGTGTGGCAGAAACTAAAAAGTTGTTTCCTAGTGTAAGATCCCGAAGAGAAGTCATATTACCGAAGCATTCTGGTAAAGACCCAGAAAACTGGTTTGTGGCCAGACCTATTAAAGTCAAGCTACGCAAATTGCAAAGGCTATCTAAGGTGCCGTTAAGATTATTATCTCCCACAGCCAAACCTTGCAGGTTTTGTAGATTTTTGAACGCTGTTGGAATACCTCCGGTCAAGTGATTCGATTGTAGATCAAGCAATAGCAAATTGGTCAAGTTGCTAGTTTGACTTGGTATGGTGCCCTTGATTTCACATGAATGTAATATCAACATCTCTAACGAAGCAGAGAGATTCCCAACGGAAGCTGGAAGAAGTCCCTTTAAGGGGTTTCGACCCAGGTCTAAATAAACCAAATTTTTGCATTTTGTCAATGAAGTGATGAAGCTCAGCTCCATAGATGTAGGATCACTTGTTAAATTGTTGCCATACAGAGCTAGAAATTGCAGAAGTGTAAGGTCCCCGAGGACGTCAGGAATGGAACCATAAGTAGTGGTGAAGCTATTCATAGACCTGATTACCTGTCAAGTTGTTACACCCTAACATGAGAACCTTCAAACCATGCAGTTTGCCAATCTCTCGGGGAATTACACCTAACAATTTTACGCAAAGACAGAACTAATCATATTCATTTCAGAGATATATTGAGAACTGTCTTAATTGCAGTTTGGCCTCGTTCGCATGCAAAGAGGCAAAGCAAAAGCATTACCTGTGAAGTTGTTATTCATGAGGGATAAATACGTAAGCTTCTCCACATTTCCAATTTCTTTAGGTATGTGCCCCCTAAACCTGTTGGATGACAAGTCTAGCGATTGAAGTTGAGAAAACTTGCATAAACTCAATGGTATTTGACCAACTAAATAATTGTAATGAAGTCGACAGCTCAGTAGTGGAAGGCGTGAAGGAAAGACAAAGGAAGGCGTCGCAATGCAATGGGAGGAAGATGTCAAGAGAAGTCGTGATCTGATGAGAGCCAACAGTTAGCAGTGTAAGGAAGAAGAAGACGTGAAGTCAGGAAAAGAGAAGTCGCAGAAGAGTAGGTGAAAGCGCTTTCCATCGATCACGCCTTTACTGGAGCTCATGCTGTTCTTGCTGAAACTGGAATCCATCGAGCTTGAAGATTCTACTTACACGTGTCAATTCCTCATTAGTTACTTTAAGGAGTTAGTTAGAATAGCTTCTATAAAAGATACGATCATGTAATTGGTTAGCTATGAATTTGGTTAAGATTTGTTATTGTATCCAGAGAGGGAATAACCCCTCTGTTGTCTTTCTCTCAATTTCCTGCATTCTTTTTCCCCTTCTTCCTCTTCCCGCCAATTCTTATTCTGTACTTATTTGAAGTTCATCAATAAAAGGAGAGGGGCGTTATTTCTTGAATCCGATCAAATCTGAGTGTTCAAAATTTGTTCTGTTTATTCAACTTCCATTCCTACAAGATTTCTGGTTCTGTACCACAACAGTGGTATCAGAGCTAGTTTTACGAGCCATAGGGATGACAAAAAATCAGGATGAAGCTTTGAGAAGAGAGGTAGTGGAACTTGGTAGTGTGGTCAGAACCTTCACCAACAAAAATGAAGGAATGGAGCAGACGATCAGATCAATGGAATTCAGGCAGGATGCTACTGAAAAATTACTGAAAGGGTTAGATCAGAAGTATGAAGGTATGATGAATATGATGGCTCAACTAATGTCTAAAATGAACGACAGAGGGAAAGAATTAGAAGGAAGCAGCAGTTCTAAGGGGGTGGCCCAACCTGAGGGATCTAAGTTGGAACCACCAAAGGAAGTAGCTGGAAGGAGAGAGTTCAAGACCATCAACAAGCTGCCTAAAATGGATCTACCTATCTTCGATGGGGACAATCCGAGGGAATGGATCAGAAAGGCTAACAAGTATTTCAAAATACATGGAATAGAAGATGAAATGAAGGCTGAGGTAGCAGAGCTTTACTTTAGGGATAGAGCAGACATCTGGTTCCATGGAGTCTTTCATGGAAAGGAAGCTATACCGTGGGAGGAGCTAACCACTGCTCTCTGCATCAGATTTGGGGAAGGAAAACCTGAGGAAGCAATTGAGGAGTTCAACAAGCTAGTACAGACTGGATCAGTAGCTGACTACCTGGAAAAATTTGAAATGCTCAAAGCACTGGTAATGCCAACCTTACCACATTTATCTGATTACTATTATAAAGCATGCTTCATGAGTGGATTGAAAGAAGAAATTGTCAATATGGTGAAAATGTCAAAACCAGAAACCTTAGCTGATGCCATTGAAGTAGAAAAGTTACAAGAAAAGAACTTAAAAGCTATCCAGAAGTTACACAAAGCTGTTCCTACTAGTTTTAGCAGTCAGAAAAGCCATATTAAAATGCCCCCTCATACCAGATAGAACCAAGACAATGTCAAACACTCCCCTAGACCCCCCAATCAAAATGCAACAACCAAAATCAATTCAAGAAGATATCCCCTGCAGAATTTAACCTGAGGAGAGAGAAAGGATTGTGCTATAAATGTGCTGAGCCATATACTTTAGGACATACATGCAAACAGTCCCATATTCATTACTTGTTGGCCGAAGGAGCTGAGACTACAGAAGGGAGCAAGGAGCAGGAAGATGAGGTCTATTGTGACTGTATTAATGGGGAGGTGGTAGATGAGCATATTGAGGTATCTGTACATGCCTTGGCTGGGGGAGCAGGGCACAAGACCATTAAGCTGAAGGGCCTGGTTGACAGGAGACAGGTTACTGCACTAATAGACAGTGGTAGTACACACTGTTTCCTGGATGAACAACTGGCAAAGGAGTTGAAGCTGAGCACACAGGGACCTAGCCTAATGGTCCATGTGGCTAATGGTGAAAATGTGGAATCCAAGGGACTGGTTAAACCGCTGCAGTGGGAAATGCAAGGTTATCAGTTCCATCATGCCTTTAACACCTTGAGATTAGGAGGCTGTGACATGATCCTTGGAGTAGATTGGCTGGCCAAACACAGCCCCATAGAATTCAATTTCAAGGAGCTCAGCATGATAATCCATAAGGGGGAACAAGAGGTAGTACTGAAGGGAGACGATTCTAGCACCAGATTAAAGATGATCAAAGGAGGCAGGTTGGATAGGTGGTTGAGGAAACAGGCATATGGGGTGGTAGCACAACTGGTGGCAATAAAAGAGGAAGATGGAACAGAACAGATACCTGCTGAAGTCAGTCAGGTGCTAGATCAATACAAGGATGGATTTGAAGAACCCAAAGGAATGCCTCCAACCAGGAGCCATGACCACCAGATTATTCTAAAAGAGGGAGCCAAGCCCTTCCAGATGAGGCCATACAGGTGCCCCTACGTACAGAAGGCAGAGATTGAGAAACTGGTAAAGGAAATGCTGGAAATAGGCATCATACAGCCTAGCAGTAGTCCTTTTGCCTCCCCAGTATTGCTAGTTAAGAAGAAGGATGGAACATGGAGGTTCTGTGTGGATTACAGACAGCTGAATGATTTAACAGTAAAGAACAAATTCCCCATGCCCCTGATTGAGGAGTTGATAGATGAGCTACATGGAGCCAGGTACTACACAAAAATTGACCTGAGGGTAGGATACTTTCAGATCAGAGTCAAGGAGGAGGATATCCCAAAAACAGCTTTCAAAACTCACCAGGGACTCTATGAATTCAAAGTCATGCCATTTGGCTTGACCAACGCACCAGCAACTTTCCAGAGCCTAATGAACCAAGTTTTTCAAGATCAGATGAGGAAACATGTGCTAGTATTTTTTGATGATATTCTAGTGTACAGTCCAACACTAGAATTGCATGTGAAGCATGTAGCTGAGGTAATGAACTTACTGAGACAACACCAACTGTACGCCAAGATGAGCAAGTGCTCTTTTGCTCAGTTGCAGGTGGAGTACTTGGGACACATAATATCAGCAGAAGGAGTCCAAGTTGATCCTAAGAAGATAGAATGCATGGAGAATTGGCCCAAACCAACTAATATCAAGCAGCTAAGAGGATTTCTGGGGCTGACAGGCTACTATAGAAGATTTTGTCAAGGGATATGGAGCCATAGCAAGGCCTTTGACGAATCTGTTGAAGAAGGACAATTTCTATTGGAATGAGGACTCAGAAAGGGCTTTCCAGGAGCTAAAAGGAGCCATGTGCCATACCCCTGTGCTAGCAGTGCCTGACTTCACACAACCATTCATCATTGAGACTGATGCATGCTATACTGGCATAGGTGCTGTCCTGATGCAGAACAAAAGGCTTATTTCCTACCTTAGTCAAGCCTTGGGACAGAAGAACACAGGACTGTTAATCTATGAGAAAGAGCTGCTAGCACTGGTGACTGCTGTAACCAAATGGAGACACTACTTGGAAGGGCATCACTTCATCATACACACTGATCATCAGAGTTTAAAGTACTTGCGGGAACAAAGGATCACTACTCCTCTCCAACAAAAGTAGCTCACTAAATTGCTGGGACTGAGCTATGAAATTCACTACAAGAGGGGAAAAAACAATGTGGCTGCAGACGCACTCTCTAGACAAGGCAGAGAGGGGATAGGGGAGTGCACCACTATATCCTGCGCAGTACCTGCTTGGGTTAGGGAAGTAATAGAGAGTTATGAGGGGGACGAGTGGACTCAGAAGACCATATCACTGGTACTACTGTCTCCTACACAGGCCCCAGACTACACTTACCAGGATGGTATTCTCAGGTACAAAAAAAGATTGGTAGTAGGAGGACAAGGGAACACCAGGAAAAAGCTTATCACTGCACTACATGACTCTCAATTACGAGGTCACTCAGGTATTCAAGCCAGCTACATGAGAGCCAAACAGTTGTTCTACTGGCCAGGAATGTACAAAGAAATCAAGAAGGTGGTCCTGGAATGTGACACCTGTAGGAAATGTAAAGATGAACATGTGGCTTATCCAGGACTGCTACAACCATTGCCTATCCCTCAACACTCCTGGAGCCACGTTACCATGGATTTCCTTGAAGGACTACCTCAATCAGAAGGGAAGAATACCATAATGGTGATTGTGGATAGATTCACCAAATATGCCCACTTCATCAGTCTAACACATCCTTTTGATGCACCAAAGGTAGCCAGACTTTTCATTGATAATGTCAGTAAATTACATGGGATTCCTCAGAGCATGCTATCTGATAGGGATAGGATATTTGTCAGTCAATTCTGGGGTGAATTGTTCAGTGTGTTGGGAGCTAAGCTGAACTACAGTACAACTTATCACCCTCAGACTGATGGTCAGACTGAGAGGGTCAATCAAGTGCTAGAGATGTATCTCAGGTGTCTGACTCATATAGAACCTAAGGGATGGAACCAGTGGTTGTCCTTGGCAGAGTGGTGGTATAACACCTCGCACCACACAGCCATTCAAATGACTCCATTTGAGGAATTATATGGCCTCCCCCCTCCTCAACTGGCTTTAGGACCATACTTTCAGACTAGAGTGGCTGCAGTGGGAGATTACATCAAGGAAAGGCAGCAGATGGATAACATGTTGAAGCAGAACTTGAAACAGGCACAAGAAAGGATGAAGAAATATGCTGATGAGAAGAGGAGTGAAAGGAAATTCAGTGAAGGAGATTGGGTATATCTAAGGCTACAACCATATAGACAGAGCTCAGTAGCCTTGCGGGAAAACACCAAACTCTCAGCAAAGTATTTTGGCCCATACCAGATAACAGAAAGGATAGGAGAGGTAGCATACAGACTGAATCTACCCACTTCTTCAAAGGTCCACCCTGTCTTCCATGTGTCATTGCTCAAGAAAAAGGTTGGCGACAAAGCCACACCTACACTCCAACTACCAGAAACAAATGAGAAGGGGCATTGGAGGATAGAACCAGCAGCAGTGATTGGTAGGAGGATGGTAAAGAAAAGAAATGCTGCTACAACTCAGTGGTTAATCCACTGGTGGGGCACAGATCCTGCAGAAGCTACATGGGAGGATGCAGAGGAGATCGGGAAACAGTTTCCCACCTTCCAATCTTGAGGACAAGATTTACTGATTAAGGGGGGGATATTGTAATGAAGTCGACAGCTCAGTAGTGGAAGGCGTGAAGGAAAGACAAAGGAAGGCGTGGCAATGGGAGGAAGATGTCAAGAGAAGTCGTGATTTGATGAGAGCCAACAGTTAGCAGTGTAAGGAAGAAGAAGACGTGAAGTCAGAAAAAGAGAAGTCACAGAAGAGTAGGTGAAAGCGCGTTCCATCGATCACGCCTTTACTGGAGCTCATGCTGTTCTTGCTGAAACTGGAATCCATCGAGCTTGAAGATTCTACTTACACGTGTCAATTCCTCATTAGTTACTTTAAGGAGTTAGTTAGAATAGCTTCTATAAAAGATACGATCATGTAATTGGTTAGCTATGAATTTGGTTAAGATTTGTTATTGCATCCAGAGAGGGAATAACCCCTCTGTTGTCTTTCTCTCAATTTCATGCATTCTTTTTCCCCTTCTTCCTCTTCCCGCCAATTCTTATTCTGTACTTATTTGAAGTTCATCAACAAAAGGAGAGGTGTTATTTCTTGAATCCGATCAAATCTGAGTGTTCAAAATTTGTTATGTTTATTCAACTTCCATTCCTACAAGATTTCTGGTTCTGTACCACAACAATAATTCCCAGATAGAGACAGATCCTTGAGGACTGAAAGATTTCCCATCTTTTCTGGAATATTACCCTCCAGAAAATTGCCTCTTAGAGTTAAAGCTTCCACTTTTGACGAGTTTGAGATTGAAGAAGGAATAAAGCCACCGAAACCATTGTTGTCAAGAAACAAGAACCGGAGTTCGGGAAAGTGACCAAACCACATTGGAATCTCCCCAGTGAATTTGTTGTTGGAAAACAAGATGAACCTCAGGCGGCGTAGGTGTGACAACTCTTCGGGCAGATTTTCGTGGAAGGAGTAATTTCTCAGATCAACAGAAACAAGAAAGGAGAGGTTTCCCAAATCCGGAGGTATCGTGCCGGTGAGTCCCATGTTTGAAATATTTAAAGCAGTGACTCTCTGGCGTCGAGAGCTGCATTGGACTCCTATCCAGTGGCAAACAGAGGATGCAGCAGCTGTAGAAGACCAGTTTTTTGACAAGAATTCTTCCTGTTCTGCAGTGATATGGGCCTTCAGGGCTAAAAGAGCAGATTGATCAGTGCCTAAACTTAATCTTGTCATGGCTGTGTAGCAGGTCATCATTGGATAGTGCAGCAAAACAAGTACTGCAAGAGGGAACACGTAAAAGTAGTGTTTCTTCATATCGACCTATATGATCAATCAATAGTCCTAATCGGGGATATATTCTCATTCGTCCAACCTCTATGTATATTTATATAGTCATTGTTTTGGAAATATGTGTGTGTAGTTTCATGTAGATCTTTCATCTTTTATACGTTCCAATGACCACAGGCAATACATTTTAGCATTTTCCTCTCTCAGTTATCCAAACTTTGCCTTAATAAACCTTTTTCGCTGAATTTTGATCAATTTTCCACTTTTTCCGTCTATTTCTCTCTCTCTCTCTCTTTTTCTTTTTAAAAATAAATTTCCCTTCCTCCGAGTTGACTTCTCTAGTTGGGTGAATTTGGGAATGGATACGACTGTATTCTAGGGCAAACACTAAATGTGGGTGGGTTAGTGGGTTCAACACTAAATGTGACATTTGGTTAGTGGGTTCTACACTAAGGAATGTGTCTCCGAGCAAAGTCATGAAGGGAATAGAGACCCTACATTTTGTGGACACTAGTCACTAGTGATGCTGCCCCAGGAGATTTCGTCACTTGCCCTTTATTATGTAAATTTCGGTCACTAGTGATGCTGCTCCAGGACATTTTGTGGTTTCTACTTAAATTCTCTCTTGCTAATTTCCTGACAAATAGATTGTCATCATCAAGTCAATGCGAAGTTAATTTATACGAAGATTAGCTATTTTATTCAAAAGCTGTAGATTGGTTAGCACATAGACGCCAGTTTGGAGTATAATAAAATGGATTTCTATCTATTTTCTTTTTCTTTTCAAATTCAAACTTACAAGGAGTGTAGATGCCAGTTTGGAGTATATTTAGAAATGAAAAGTTGATTGAAAAATGTGTTAATAGAAAACGTAAAAAAATTTTCGGAGAGAAATTACTTTCCAAACAAGGTAGGTCCAACTTTATGAGGCAGCAATTTTTTGGCGAAAAAAAAGGGTTATTAACGTTACCTGAAATTAATATTAGATTCGCTATTTGTTGTATTCAAAGGTTGAGCCACAATTGCATATTTACCAAATCTTGGCCATTAAATGTTTCAAATACCATCCATCGCTAACAAAATGTTGAATCCCCAGTTCTCTCCCAACCTACCCCTTCAACATTGAAAAACAATACACCACTTTTTATAATCTCTTTCTAGCCTCGGAACTTATTCTAAGGTTACGGTTTTAACAATAAGTTTACTCCCAAAGTCCAAAGTTTCTTAGAAAAATTATGTTTTACTCCCATTTATGTCATATTAGTAAATGTTGTATTCTAAATTAAAGAAAAATTCTTGCATCTCCATATGTTTGAAAGAAGCAAAAATACAAGGGAACTAATAATAATATAAGAAAAATTCTTGCATCTCGATCTGTATTTGCAATTTGTGTATGTAAATACAAGCTAATCCAATCCATCGAAAAAATATCAAGTGCTCATTTCATCGAAGGATCATGGGTGCTTTAACATGCAAAGTATGATTGGAATGATTTTTTTTTTTTTATAACGATAACATTTGTATAATATTAATCTATTCTATTTTATAGAGAGAGAAAGCCTAAAAAGACTGTATCAGAGACTAGCAGGTATATAAATCTAATTAGATCAAAGAATACTCCGACATCTTGTTTAAATTTTGTTTACTGCAAGTGAGATTCGAACCTCCTCCGTGTAACTGTCCAAAAGGGTTTAATCACTTTTTGGTGCCGTTGACCAAAATGGAATGATTCTCTCTGGTTCCTGTCAATTCCCTAGTCTCCTTCCAATTACAGGAAGATGACTGAAGTCAAGAGGGACTCTTATAGTGCCACTGGGTCGTTGGAAATTGGAGTAGAGTCGTTGACTCAGTGGACCAAATTAAATTACTCGATTAGAAAAACTCAAGCCCACGAATAAAAAACTTATATTGGACACATTTACAGGCAATTTGAGGTACTGCATAAATGAAAATTTGCTAGTATACTTCTTTTTGTCTTTATATTAAGTTCAAAATTCATGAAGTGGAAACCACGATTAGGGGATCCAGAATTAACATAATTCAGAGAGCCAGAGATTAAGTTCTCTTAGTTTTATTCGCAAGATTAAGTTCTCTTAGTTTGGCACCTTAAAATTCATATTTGCTTCTAACTAAAACTTTCTCCAAACTCCAAACTAAGACCATATTATGGTTTTTCATTGTGCGTGCCGACATAATCAACTTACCTGGAAAGTTGTGAATAAATATTTCAGCTGAAATTTCATCAAACGTAAATCAATGGATAATTTTTCTTGGCTTCTAAATTAATTTTTGAAGCATTTATCACTAACAAATTAGGAAAAACTGTATAGAGTTAAACTCAGACGATTATTTGGAGAAATGTTGCAACTTCAATGCAGATTATAGGACAATGTTACAACTCAGACGATTATTTCAGATTTTTGTAGGACAATGATATTGTACGTTTTAATTGATTTTGAAGTTTTTGATTGTGAGGGCTATTTTCCTATCTAAGCTTCCTTATCAACGTGTCCGCTATTTATACAGTCAAAATTAGGCATGTAAATGGATTGGGTATTACCCAAATCCAATTCAAACCCAATATATTGTGGGTAGGGTTTGGATTTAATTTCTCAAATCCAGACCCTACCCAAACCCAGATCTAAATCCTATGAGAGAGTTGTGGGTCTGGGTAGGGTTTGATTTCCTAGAATCTATATCCAAATTCAGACTCATATCAGATCTTACCCAGACCCACACATATTTAATTAAATAATATATATTAGAAAATTTATAAAATAATATAATATTTTATGGTTATTGGAACGAATACAATAACATTTTATGGCATCAGAATCTGCATTTCGTATTCGTGGTTCGGTGATTGATGAGATTTGTGCCAAATTACTTCTAAATGTTGTTGAAACATTAGTGACTATTAATGATTATATTGAATCAAAGAAAAAATGAGTAATGTTTATAAATTTTCTTATTCTATTATTTATTTGCCATCGGTCCTTAATCAAATGATTTTTATCTCATTCATTATTTTAATGCCGGATTACGAGATATCTGCCAATATTGAGGTTCAAATAAGAAAAAGAGGTACAAAATTACATTTTTTTAATAAGACTAAATATTTATATATGTTATGGTTGTTTTTTTTTTTTCAAAACTAATCCTAGTTGTCATTGTAATTGGTACAAACTTTTTCAAGAAAAGGAGAAAAGATAAAGGCAAACAAATGAAATATTGATGTGGATGCAGTTGAATATTAAAAAATATATAGAAGTAGCCAATAATAATTCTTTTTTTGAGTTCAAAATATTGCATTCAATTTGTTGAATGTTAATTTTATTATTTGAAAACAAAAATTGGATTGTATTTCTATTATTTATGAACACTATATATTTTTTAATACATTTTTACTTTAGTATTTTCAGAAAACACCCATGAATGCCCATTGAATATCCAGACTCATAAGGGTTTAGATATGAACTTACTTTTTCGGACCCAAAAGGGTTTGGATCTGGATTTGGATCTAACTAAATTAAATGAGTCTGGATCTGGATCAAAGGGATCCAATTGATATGCCTAGTCGAAATCGTGGATAAGAAGCATTTCCATTGTCGTTTTCCAAGGAAAAGTTCACTATAATGCCAAGAATTACGTGTTAGAATATTTAGATAAGCTCAGGTGATTTTGTTAAACACTTTTTGTTTCTTTGTTTTTCTTGTTAGGCCTGGTTTTAGGAAATTAACCAATGAGAACAATAAAGTTCTTGGCAACCAAATAAATACAATAACAAACCAAATAAAATAAATAGAAAGATACAAAATTTTATGTGATTCGACCGAATTGATCTATGTTCATGGGCGAAGGAGTAACACATTTATTATAACGGAAAAAGAGTACAAAACTTTAAGAAATAATTCCGACTTAATAGGTGTTTTCTTTTATTGTTTATATTCCAGATTGGGTTCATCCTGTAATAGGCAGTTCTTTCTTTGGCTAATTCCCATTGACTTCTTAAGAATCATACCTTTTTTTTTGTCTAAATGACAAAATAGATTTCCTTTTCTACTGTTTCAAAAAACTTTAATTTATTTCTTTTTTCTGATGATGTTTTTTAAAGAATCTAAATAACACAAAATACTTAACGGTATAGAGGCCCATAACTTATTCTTTTGGTTTGATGTCTAACCAAAAGTTCTCTTAAACTGGAGCATGGGTCCCCTAAAATTCTCTTGAACTTGTGCATATGGCATTTGGATTGGTACTCTTAGCACACTCAAACTGACTCAAACCCACTACATTTATAACTAGTATGAGGAGAGATTTCTTTGTAAAACTTTCGATATGGAATACAAAATTAAACTCAACATTTCTGGCTTAGAATACGATTAAGCAATAAACTGCATATAATTTTTCCAGTATTGGGCTAGAAAAGCAGATTGATCAATGGTGAATTATGAAACCACTCCCCATTATACAATAGTGTACACAAAGCATTTCAACAATGATGGTAGCAGAATTTCTTTCTCTCGCTGCCTCTCTCGCTTAACCATACGTTCATTTGACTGGAAAGGCACTTTAGTCAGCCAATTGTGAACCAGAATTGAATAAAATCTATGGAGTAAGTATGCTGTGATTCAAGATATGAGAAATTCTGGGGACTAGGCTACAGGTTGCCAAAATTGTTGGATGAATCAGAAATTGTCTTTTTTGGGAATTGTTTTATAATCTAAGCCATAAGCAAGGGATATGGTTTCCACTTATCTATATGATTCCTGTGTCTAAGAAACTGGCAAAGAATTGAAGTGGATATCATCAGTGAAAACAACTACAGTGTCATGACATTGAGGAGGTTATTTTTTGAACACAGAGGCTTCCTGGCCCTTTCCCTGCTTCTCTCTACATTCAGAAATTCCAAATTTTAATCATACAATTTGATTTGGAGTAATACGACGTCTTTCAAAGCTCGCGTGCTTTGGTTTATTTGAGATAAACAAATTGGCCTATTTTCCCATCTCCTATTGAATTTTTTGTTTTTAAATCATATCTTGGCCCTACAATGTCCCAATAAGCCATCCATTGCATTGGTAACCAATGTTGAACTTGAATCCCTGGTTCTCTTCCTACTTATGCCGTCAACGTTGAATATGGGGACGATTGGAATGATTCTCTCTTGTTTTTTCATTTTCTTTTGGGGGCAATTCACAAGGCTCCTTCTGATTATGGGAAGATGACTAAAGTCAAGAGAGATCCCTAAAGTACCAGTGGGTTGTTGGAAATTGCAATACTGTCATTGACTCAGTGGACCAAATAAAATTGAAGCCACCATTCACTCTTTGTTTTTTTTTTTTGTGGTCAACACGATAGTTTCTATTTTATATCTGCTTCTACTCTATCCTAAGTATCCTAAGGGAGAGGGGGTGGATCCAAATAAGTCAAGAAAGAATTCGGAGGGAATTGAATCATGACCGAATTAAATGGGTGTCAGCTTCTATTTTATGCCTATTTCTATTCTATTCTAAATATTCTGAGGGGAGGGGGTAGGACCAAATAGGTCAAGGGAGAACTAAGAGGACTGATGAACCGCCAATGGACCAAATGGGTGTCTTTGCACCAGAGAGTGAAACTTTTAGAAAATTCTGAAAATGAATGCAAATCAAGAGATCGAATCCCTTGACCTACATCTAAAGAGAGCCTTAAACCTTTTCCTGTGGTCAACTCTCTAAAGGTAGTTGGAAGCAGCCATTCACTCAATGAAAGAAAACTCAAGCCCACCAATCAAAAATTTATATTGGACAAGTTTACAAGCAATTTGAGGTACTGCATAAACGAAAATTTGCTAGTATACAACCACTGAGCTAAACTCAGTGGCAACTAAGATGAGTCTTAAGACCCTGCTTGGGCTATAGGTGGAGGGTTCAAATCCCACCTACAACAAAAAAAAAATCCGAAGGTTGTGTCATTGCACTCCCTTGGTCTAGTAAGGTCTGTATACCTACTAGCCTCTAATACAAAACCTCTTTAGGCTCCCCCTCCCCAATAGTCTAGGATAGATAGATTATACAATAGTTGTCGTTTTTGGGGAAAAAAAGAAAAATTTGCTAGTATACTTCTTTTTGTCTTTTATAGTAATAATTTCAAAATTCATGAGGTGGAAAACACGATTAGGGGATCGAGAAGGAACACAATTCATAGAGCCAGAGACATTTGCTTCATTCACAAAATTCAAATCTCTTAGTTTGGCATCTTAAAATTCATATATGCTTCTAACTAGCACTTTCTCCAAACTCCAAATTACGAAGACCAAATTTTGATTTTTCGACATGGTACATTCACCAGGAAACTTGTGAATAAATATTTCAGCTGAAATGTAAATCAATGGATAACCTTTCGTGGCTCCTAAATTAATTTTTGAAGCATTTATCAATAATAGACTAGGAAAAATTGTATAGAGACACACTCTGAGGATTTTATGGAGAAATGTTACAACTTCAATCAAGATCTCCGGCTAATATGAGGTTTCTGTGTTATGGACCCATGTACCCTTAAAAGAGTAAATCATTCTGAACTAAACAATGTGGAAGTTTCGAATTTATTTCGTAGGATAATTGATTTTGAAGTTTTAGATTATGAAGGCAAGTTTGCTGTCTAAGCTTCCATTTCAACGTGTCCTTCTGTATTTATACATTCAAAATCATGGATAAGAAACATTTCCACTGATTGACGTTTTCTGAGGAAAAGTTCACTATAATGCCAAGAATTTCAGGTGAATTTGTTAAACACTTTTTGCTTCTTTGCATACGGTTAAATCATAAACTGCATTATGAAAAGCGGATTGATCAATGCTGAATTATGAAACTGGTCCTCATTATACAGCAGTGCACACAACGAATTTCAAGAATGGTGATAGCAGAATTTCTCTGTCTCTCTCGCCTGACCATACCTTCATTCGAATGGAAATGACCTTCGATCAGCCAATTGTGAACCAGAATAGAATTTATGGAATACATATCCAGTAGTGATTCAAGATATGAGAAATGCTATTTATTCAATCCAAACTACGAATCGACCCGCAAGAATTTGAGTTTGATCTTCTTCAGTGTCTCCAGCGTAACTTTCATACTAACTCTCTCACTTGGAGATTCACAGACACATTTTAAGGCCAATTCCAAGATTGACAATAAAACCTCCAGCTTCTCAGTGAAATTTTCATTCTCACGCTTCAACAACTTGGCATCAGTAACTTGAAGAATCGAATTAGGCAGAGAATCATTTATCCAACTCTTCAAGTTCAAATTTCCAGCAAACATCTCATCATTAGGCTTTCTTCTTGAAAAAACTTCCATCAGCATGATTCCATAGCTATAAACATCGCATTTTGCGGATATCAACCCCTCAGATCCATACTCTACAAACAACGTTCAAATTGAACAAGTGTCACATAAGAAAAAAAAGAAAAAAGAAACTTAATTCTATACAAACGTTTGGGATTAGATTGAAGAATCATTACCTGGAGCAATGTAGCCAATTGTAGCTAAGGTCTTGGTCCATGCAAAGCTTTCCTCCTTTTCCAGCATTTTTGCAATACCAAAGTCGCTGACGTGGGCAACCATATCCTCATCAAGTAAGATATTACTGAGCTTCAAATCACAGTGAATCACAGGCGTCGAATATTCTTCGTGCAGGTATTGCACTGCATTTGCCACATCTATCATTATATTCAATCTCTGTAGAGTATCTAAGAAATAGTTGTCAGAATACAGCCACTTCTCAAGGCTTCCATTGCACATGTATTCAAGCACCAAGGCCCTAAAATCCTGGTTCCAACAACCGCTGATGACCTTCACAAGATTTCGATGGCGAAGGTTCTTCAGGACTTCACACTCAACATCAAAGCTCTTGAGTACCCCTTCCAATTCCAAATTGAAAACCTTTACAGCAATAGACCTTCCATCATTCAGGATCCCCTTGTAAACAGATCCAAAACTCCCAATGCCAAGCAAATTGCTTTCACTGTACCCATCAGTTGCTCGAAGAAGTTCATAGTACGAAACTCTTTCTTGCGTTGGCACCAATACCATGTTTGTTCCTTTAGAATCCTGATATTTCTTCCAATATCTTCTGAAGACAATTGCTAAGGCTGCGACAACCACAGAAGCGAGTCCCAGAGGAACAAATACAAATAGAAGCACCTTTTTTGTTCTGGACCTGTGAATTGAATTAGTTCTTGGGCAAGGCGGCACGTGAAACCTGGAATCCCCGCACAATGCATCGTTGAACAGAAAAGATTCAGCGGTAAAGTTCCTAAAGCGACCACCAGAAGGAATTTCACCATTTAAATGGTTATAAGAAACGTCAATCTCTTCAAGGTACCGAAGTGCCTCCAATGACTTTGGTACGAAGCCAGAAAGATTGTTATGTGATAGGTAAAGTCCTTGTAAGCTGAGCATATTGCCAAATGACTCTGGGATAGATCCATGAAATTGGTTTTGGGATAAATTTAAAATCAACAGGTATTGCAAACCACCTGTTGTGCTAGGAATATCACCTGAGAATTGATTCGCTGATATGTCTATGGATGTTACAGCTTTCAGAGTTCCAGCTTCAAGAGGCAAGGAACCATTAAGGGAGTTTGAGGATAAGTTCAACTGCAAGAGATCTTTGAGGTTCCAAAAACTATTAGGTATGGCAGAGACTAAAAAGTTGTTTCCTAGTGTAAGATCCCGAAGAGAAGTCATATTACCAAAGCATTGTGGTAAAGACCCAGAAAACTGGTTTGTGGTCAGATCTATTAAAGTCAAGCTATGCAAATTGCAAAGGTTATCTAAGGTGTCATTAAGATTATTATCTCCCACAGCCAAACCTTGCAGGTTTTGTAGATCTTTGAATGCTGTTGGAATACCTCCGGTCAAGTGATTCGACTCTAGATCAAGCAATAGCAAATTGGTCAAGTTGCCAGTTTGACTTGGTATGGTGCCCTTGATTTCACTATTTCGTATATACAATTTCTGTAGAGTAGCAGAGAGATTCCCAATGGAAGCTGGAAGAAGCCCATTTAATGGATTTGAGCCCAGGTCTAAAAAAACCAAGTTTTTGCATTTTGTAAATGAAGTGATGAAGCTCAGCTCCATAGATGTAGGATCACTTGTTAAATTGTTGCTGAACAGAGCTAGATATTGCAGAAGTCTAAGGTCCCCGAGGGCGTCAGGAATGGAACCAGTGAATCTGTTAGTTGAAAGTTCTAGTATTCTTAATTGGGAACAATTTGTAATGGACACTGGTATAACTCCACCAAGGTTATTCCCAGCTAGATCTATGAATAATAACTTGGGCAGTCTGTATCCTAGATCCCGCGGAAGATTTCCTGATAGAAGATTAGACGAAAGTGCAATATTCCGCAATGCTGAGAGGTTAAAGAGCCCAGGGGGAATGGAGCCATTCAAGCCATTATAAGGTAACTGAAGATTCTCGAGTAGGTAAAGGTTACCCAGCTCTCGTGGTATTGTACCTGCGTACCAAATTCATTTTCAAAGGAAGCACATCTATCATTAGGCTGTAAAATTCTCTGAAGAAACCAATTATAAATTAAAAAAATTTTTTTGAATGGATGTAAGCGTTTAGTTAACCGATTTCAATTTACTTCATCAAAAAATGGTACTTTAAAGATGCATTTACCTGTCAAGGAGTTGTTGGCGAAGTAGAGCTCAGTAAGCATCGTCAAATTCCTGATTTCTTTTGGAATGCTTCCTGTGATTTGATTCCATTCCAGATTGAGCCCCTGCAGGTTCTGTAGATTGCCTATCTCTTGTGGAATTGTACCTGCCAATCACACACGCAGGTAGGCTAGTAGATTTATACCCATTAATTAAATGGGTCTGGGTATACCCAATTATCCGTTTATGAATCACTTAAAATTCTTCTCTTTTTTCTCTATTTTTTTGCATGATGTTTGACAAAAAAATTAACGGTATTTTATTGTTATTAAATTCGTAAAAAATTCAAATTTGTTTGCTTAATACTCACTAAAAGTTGAGTTAAAATGTATGGTTATTTTTAAATGAGTATAAATGAGTGAGTCGAGTCAACCCATTATCCACAAATTAGATGGATTTAATTGAATACTTATTTAGATCTATTCAAAATTAATGGGCGGATTATTAGCATGCTCGTTTGGGCGAATCAACATAATCAAGTTGTTATTGATACCTTTAGTTACATCCAAGGAATATATAACTCTTCAAAACTTCCAGTTTTGTTTTTTTTTTTGGGTGGATGTTTTCCATAGTAAGTAGGAGTATCTGATTAAGTTTATGGACATTCAAATAGACATGACATGAATTCATTTCACCCAGAACTTGCTCCAAATATTTGCTAGTTGCATGATTGTAAATAGACCATAAGTAGTGGTGAAGCTATTCATAGACCTGATTACCTGTCAAATTGTTACGGCCCAACACGAGAACCTTCAAACCACGCAGTTTGCCAATCTCTCGCGGAATTACACCTAAACAATTTTATGCAAAGATAGAACTAATCATATTCATTTTAGAGATATATTGAGAACTATCTTACTTGCAAAGCGGGAATTTGTGTTGGTAACTATGCTTTTAATTTTCTGGAATAAAGAAGCAGAGGTGTTACAATAGTAACTAAAAAAAAAAAAAAAAAAACAAAACCAGCCATCGAAGCCATGCTGGTAAAACAGTACATAGTGTTGAATCCCAGTTCCAAACAGGGAAAAATGACCATTGATTGCAGTTCGTATGCAAAAAGGCAAAGCAAAAGCATTACCTGTGAAGTTGTTATTCATGAGGGATAAATACGTAAGCTTCTCCAGATTTCCAATTTCTTTGGGTATGTACCCGCTAAACCTGTTGAATGACAAGTCTAGCGATTGAAGTTTAGAAAACTTGCATAAACTCAATGGTATTTGACCAACTAAATAATTCCCAGATAGAGACAGATCCTTGAGGACTGAAAGATTTTCCATCTTTTCTGGAATATTACCCTCCAGAAAATTGCCTCTTAGAGTTAAAGCTTCCACTTTTGACGAGTTTGAGATTGAAGAAGGAATAAAACCACCGAAACCATTGTTGTCAAGAAACAAGAACCGGAGTTCGGGAAAGTGACCAAACCACATTGAAATCTCCCCAGTGAATCTGTTGTTGGAAAACAAGATGAACCTCAGGCGGCGTAGATGTGACAACTCTTCGGGCGGATTTCCGTGGAAGGAGTTACTTCTCAGATCAAGAGAAACAAGAAAGGAGAGGTTTCCCAAATCCGGAGGTAATGTTCCGGTGAGTCCCATGTTTGAAATATTTAAAGCAGTCACTCTTTGGTGTCGAGAGCTGCATTGGACTCCTATCCAGTCGCAGACAGAGGATGCAGCAGCTGTAGAAGACCAGTTTTTTGACAAGAATTCTTGCTGTTCTGAAGTGATATGGGCTTTCAGGGCTAAAAGAGCAGATTGATCAGTGCCTAAACTTAATCTTTTCATGGCTGTGCAACTGGTCATCATTAGATAGTGCAGCAAAACAAATACTGCAATAGGGTAGAAATAAAAGTGTTTCTTCATATCAACCTAGCTATATGATCAATAGTCCAAATTGGTGATGGATCTAGGAAATTAGACGCCAATGTAAGAAGCATATATACGTCTTAAATGTGGGGATTTTATAGACAGCATTATTGTGTGGACAAATCCCAAAGTTGGTTAAGATTATATTAGTTGGGATTAGAGGTGTAAATGAACTTAATCAACCTCGACACTCCAGTATTTAAACTTGTTTGTTTACTTTAATGAGTTTAAAATTTTATCCAAGTTTGACTTGATATTTATTATGTCAAACTCAAACGAGCTTTTGTCAAATTGAGCTTGAGCTTTGTACATGTAGGTTGAAAAATCTATCGATAAATTTCAAGTTTTACTACTAATTGAATCAAGTTGAAGATGAGTTGAGTTTGAAAGTTTACTATACATATAACATGCTTTTCATGTTTGGCTTGTTTAGTCACCAAAATCCATTCGTACCAATAGGACTAGATTCAAATATCTAGTAATTTGATTAATCGTTCAATCTAAATTGTGAGGTACCAACATTTGACTCATAAGTTACATTAAATTAAAAAAAAAATACTATATCACCTACGATATTAGTAACAGTTTCACTTAAATTGGTTACGTCCTGTTAGGATCAACGGCTTCAAAAGTTATTGATTTTAGTTGTTTGAGATTATATATAAATTAAAGTAATATAAGAAGACATAGAATAAACAGTCAATGTCGATATTTTTATAGGACAGAAACAGTTGTATTGAAATCCATTCCTAATAGTATACTACCGTTTCAATATGATATAATTTTTTGGGTACATTGGAAGAGGTCATAACCCCTTAAATTGCAACAAAGCGAGGAAATGCAACTCCTTCTAAACAGTGTAATACCATTTGAATATGATGTAATTTTTTTTTTTTTTTTTTGGATACATTGGAGGAGGTCATCATAACCCCTTAAATTGCAATAGAACGAGTAAATGGAACTCCAAACACATCAGCTATCAATAGTTCTGTCATCTATGCTGGGATTTCATCAATAATCTGCTGAGCCATGCATGGAAGCTGTGTTTAGCTAACCAATCAGCACACTAATTTCCCTCCCTTCATATGCGGTTCAATTGACACTCCCAATTCCTCTGTATCAGCTCTCGTGCATGGAGAATGAGATTATGATACGGGGAGGTCTGTCTTTCCTCTTCAATATAATATAATTCAAGGTAATGATTTGTTCAAATTTATAGTAACATAAATGTTGCACTATTTAATTACTGTTCATATGAGTACATACATAATTATTTTGTCGGAGTTACATGACATTGTTTCAATAGTACATTTTAAATTTGTGTCTTGTTGACCGTGAACAGTTTAGACTGTTCTTAGTCCAACATTGTATATGTACATATTGTTTACCCGAGGGTGAGATCATACTGATCTCTCCTTCCTACTTTGATAGTTCTATTTTCTTTTTTCGTCTATCCTAAATTGTAGTCCATTTTTTAATTGAAAAATATAATTATCTTTTAATTTCTCTAAACGACCTTTATTTAATGTAGGTTGTTATTAGTAAAAACTACTCTATTTAATGTAGATTGTTTCTTGACCATCAATTCAAATTCTCATAAACCATTAATTCAAGTTTTCATAAATAATTAATATAAAGTTGTACTCTATTTAATTTAAGGGTATTTTAGAAAAATAGCAATCTAAATTTATTTTTCCAATAAAATTAACTGCTTTTTCTTAAACTGTATGAAAAAAAATTAGAACTATTAAAATGGGATAGAGGGAGTATCTTTTGGAAAGACGTGTAGTGTCATGTATAAATCTTTTACGTGTTCCAATGACCGCATATGGTGATAGACTTTAGCATTTATCTCTCCAAGTTATTCCAACGTTGCCTTTGAAAAATCCATGAACCTTTTTAGCTTTTCCACTAATTTGTTCGTATTTTGCTTCCTATTGTTGACATCGTTTGTCTCTTTAACTCAAATAACAATCTGCAAAGAATTCATAACATTGTAGTCGCTGAAGACACATAGGGAAGTTTGGTAGGTAAGTTTTGCTAGGTGGTAATCCAGTCAAGCAATATTAAGATCCAACTGATTCACAGTGGGAGTATTCGTGCACGCAATCTTGTACTAGTCTAAGTCATGAATTTCTGAACGTCCTAATAATCTTTTTTTCTCACCTTCATTAATTTGATGTGGATCTATTCTGCAAGTTTCCCTTAATAGTTCTACAACATCTGAGATAGTGAGATGACAACAACCGCATGCACCAAGTCTTCAGCGTGCAAAGGACGTTGGAAATTTTGTTAGCCATTCTATATGAACGTTTAATATTTAGACTTTTTCTTCGCTAGCCATTAATGGGTCAGGATGTACAAGGCATTTTCAATTGACTTCTATTATTGGCAGAACCATACTTTTTCTTTACAGGACTTCATGGGACTTTTCAGTTAACAATGTCCTTTTTATTTTAGTATATGCGAGAGGATTTGAATCGTATCATGTGCACATAATCAATTTTTGGAGGGGTGTTCTACAGTGGTCGAGCCAAAGATTTTCATGATCAATGAGACACAAATTTGTGACATCCTAACAATTTATTTATATCCTTTTCATTTAGAGATTCTAAGAAATTACAAGATGTTTATATCCTTTTCTTTTAGACTCACTCAAGTGTACATACTTGAGATTTTGAAAAATCGCAATGGTATTTTTAGGATGGACATATTTGAAACTTAGAGGTAAAATTAGATTGAGAGATTGATTTATATTAGAATACAATCAAGTGCCTTTTTTTATTTCGTTTTTTCAATTCTACAGTCAACAGGAGAAGGGATGGGTTGGATGGTATGAAGGGAGAGAATGTAAATGAGAGATTTCAAGTTTGAAACCTCCACCTACACTAAGGATGAACCAACTCTGCACTTTAGTCAGCCAAATTGTTGGATGAATCAGATATTGTCTTTTTTGGAATTGTTTTATAATCTAAGCCATAAGCAAGGGATATGGTTTTCACTGATCTATATGATTCCTGTGTCTAAGAAACTGGCGAAGAATTGAAGCGGATATCATCAGTGAAAACAACTGCAGCGTCATGACATTGAGGAGGTTATGTTTGAACACTGCTCCATTCCCTGCTTCTCTCTACATTCAGAAATTCCAAATTTTAATCATACAATTTGATTTGCAGTAATACAACGTCTTTCATAGCTCATGTGCTTTGATTTATTTGGCATCAACAAATTGCCTCTTTTCCCTAATTTTTCGGATGATTATAAAAGATGATACATATTCGATCCGAACTATTCATCAGCCTACATTACTTGCAAGAATTTGAGTTTGATCTTCTTCAGTGTTTCAAGAACAACTTTCATACTGAGTCTATCAGTTGGAGATTCAAGAACGCATTTTAAGGCTAATTCCAAGATGGATGTAAAACCCTCCAACTTCTCAGTGAAATTTTCATCCTCATGCTTCAACAACTTAGCATCAATAACTTGAAGAATCGAATTAGGCAGAGAATCATTTATCCAACTCTTCAAGTTCAAATTTCCCACAAACATTTCATCATTAGGCTTTCTTCTTGAAAAAACTTCCATCAGCATGATTCCATAGCTGTAAACATCACATTTTGCTGATATCAAACCCTCAGATCCATACTCTACAACCAACATTCAAATTGAACAAGTATCACATAAAAGAAGGCAAAAAGAAACTAAATGCTATACAAACATTTAGGATTAAGATTGAAGAATCATTACCTGGAGCAATGTATCCAATTGTAGCTAAGGTCCTGGTCCATGCAAAGCTTTCCTCCTTTTCCAGCATTTTTGCAATACCAAAGTCGCTGACATGGGCAACCATATCCACATCAAGTAAGACATTATTGGGCTTCAAATCACAGTGAATCACAGGCGTCGAATATTCTTCGTGGAGATATTGCACTGCACTTGCCACATCTATCATTACATTCAATCTCTATAGAGTATCTAAGAAATAGTTGTCAGAATACAACCACTTCTCAAGGCTTCCATTGCACATGTATTCAAGCACCAAGGCCCTAAAATCCCGGTTCCAACAACCGCTGACGACCTTCACAAGATTTCGATGGCGAAGGTTCTTCAGGACTTCACACTCAACATCAAAGCTCTTGAGTACTCCTTCCAGTTCCAAATTGAAAACCTTTACAGCAATAGACCTTCCATCATTCAGAATCCCCTTGTAAACAGATCCAAAACACCCAATGCCAAGCAAATTGCTTTCGCTGTACCCATCAGTTGCTCGAAGAAGTTCGTAGTACGAAACTCTTTCTTGCGTTGGCACCAATACCATGTTTGTTCCTTTAGAATCCTGATATTTCTTCCAATATCTTCTGAAGACAATTGCTAAGGCTGCGACAACCACAGAAGCGAGTCCCAGAGGAACAAATACAAATAGAAGCACCTTTTTTGTTCTGGACCTGTGAATTGAATTAGTTCTTGGGCAAGGCGGCACGTGAAACCTGGAATCCCCGCACAATGCATCGTTGAACAGAAAAGATTCAGCGGTAAAGTTCCTAAAGCGACCACCAGAAGGAATTTCACCACTTAAATGGTTATAAGAAACGTCAATCTCTTCAAGGTACTGAAGTGCCTCCAATGACTTTGGTACGAAGCCAGAAAGATTGTTATGCGATAGGTAAAGTCCTTGTAAGCTAAGCATATTGCCAAATGACTCTGGGATAGATCCATGAAATTGGTTTTGGGATAAATTTAAAATCAACAGGTATTGTAAATCACCTGTTGTGCTAGGAATGTCACCGGAGAATTGATTCGCTGATACGTCTTTAGATGTAATAGCTTTCAAATTTCCAACTTCAAGTGGTAAGGAACCATTAAGGGAGTTTGAGTATAAGTTCAACTACAAGAGATCTTTGAGGTTCCAAAAACTATTAGGTATGGCAGTGACTAAAAAGTTGTTTCCTAGATCAAGATCCCGAAGAGAAGTCATATTGCCAAAGCATTCTGGTATGGACCCGGAAAATCGGTTCGCAGTCAGGTATGCATAAGCCAACCTCTGCAAATTGCAAAGGTTTTCTAAAGTGCCATTTAGATTATTATCTTCCATACCCAAATTTTGCATGTTTTGTTGATCTTTGAATGCTGCTGGGATGCCTCCAGTCAACTGATTCGATTGTAGAGCAAGCAATATCAAATTGGTCAGCCAGTTTGACTTGGTATGGTGCCTTTGATTCCACTAGTTCCTATATACAATTTCTGTAGAGTAGCAAAGAGATTCCCAGTGGAAGCCGGGAGAAGTCCATTTAACGGATTTGGGCCCAGCTCTAAACAAACCAAGTTTTTGCATTTTGTTAATGAAGTGATGAAGCTCAGCTTCGTAGATGTAGGATCACTTGTTAAATTGTTGCTGTTCAGAAGTATATACCGCAGCAGCCTAAGGTCCTCGAGGGCGTCAGGAATGGAACCAGTGAATCCGTTAATTGAAAAATCTAGAATTTTTAATTGGGAACAATTTGTAATGGACACCGGTATAACTCCACCAAGGTTATTCCCATCAAGCTCTATGAATAATAACTTGGGCAGTCTGTATCCTAGATCCCGCGGAAGATTTCCTGATAGAAGATTAAATGCAAGGTCAATATTCTGCAATGCTGAGAGGTTGAAGAGCCCAGGGGGAATGGAGCCATTCAAGCCATTATAAGGTAACTGAAGATTCTCGAGTTGGTAAAGGTTACCCATCTCTGGTGGTATTGTACCTGCGTACCAGATTTCATTTTCAAAGGAAGCATATCAATCATTAGGCTGTAAAATTCTCTGAAGAAACTAATTATAAATAAAAAAAAAAATCGAATGGATGTAAGCGTTTAGTTAACCGATTTCGATTTACTTCAACAAAAAAGATGTATTTACCTGTCAAGGAGTTTTTTTTTATATTGATTTTATTCCTTCAAGCAATTTGCCAGTTCTAGAGGGGGAAAAGACCGAACATCCCAAGAGGACATTACATGTAATAAATGAATGGGGAACCTAGCATTTTCGAAGGGAAGGGAGACCAAACTTGTCTAGTCTAAATGCCCCTCGGGCTTGAGTAGGGAGCTCGGAAAGATGATGATAAGTTCTGTTACAACCTTCGTCACAACCAATATTAGATAGTCTATCAGCCACTTGATTACCCTCTCGGAAGCAATGAGTGATGCTAGCGACATGGGGCATCAGCTGAAGGAGGGACCGGATTTCCATATCAATACTCCACGGGCATCGAATTTGTTGCTGCAATATTTTAACGAGAACCAGATAATCCATCTCCACGTGCACTCTCACATAGCCACAAGAAATGCACAAGTTTATCCCAAAGAGAAGGGCCCTTGCCTCAGCCTGGATGCTAGTACAGGTCCCAACAAATGTGGAAAAGGCGAGCAGGAGCTTGCTCTCACCATTCCGTATGATACCACTACCTCCTGCCCGTCCTGGATTGCCCCTGGAGCAGCCATCCATGTTGAGTTTAAGCTCTCACATTAGCGGCCTCGACCACTTGACCAGTCTGAAAGACTCCTGACCGCGACGAGAACCGAGGGAATCGTAGAATGCATGCCATGTCGGAAGGGCCCAAGAGACTCTCGGGAACTTCAGATAGAAAAGATTTCGTACATCATCGAGAATAAAACCACAGATAGCTAGTGGAGTGTAATTGACCCCTTCGAACCGCCCTTCGAAAAGATTTTAATGTTGAGATTTTGCTTAATAGTTGAACCATTTGCTTATGGATGCTGGTTGAATATTTTATATTCTTAGATTAGTTAGTCATAAATTGAAAGAATCCTTGATCTTGAAAGCTAGTTGGAGAGATATTTCTTGAAAATTGCCACTAATACTTAACATGTGTTTTAATTGTATCTTGGCAATAGAAGATTTGAATAATACCATTGTTTGAATTTGATTATTTGATTTGTTGTTTTCATGCTTGAGGACAAGCATGATTTAGGTAAATTGATAGGCCATAATTTGTTGCTAAATTTATAATTATTTTTCCCTAGATTTTAGCCAAACATTATTTTAATTGATTGATTTTACTTATATTTGGTATTTGGTACTAATTGTAGGAAGGTGGAGCAAAAAGAGATAAAAGATGTGATTTTTCAAGAGTTTTCTAATTCAAAAGGGAGTCTACGTGGATTATTAACGGAACAGTAGGAGGAAGTCTATTTGGTTTCAAAAAGCTAAAAATTAGGAAAATCAATTCCTTCAATTTCGTGGCTAGCAAAAGGAAAAAGAGGGAAGTATTAGACTCCTAGTAGGTCTGCTTGGCTTGGCATGAATTTCCGTTTGGCTTTGCTAGGTGGGGACCATCGAGAGAAAGCCACGGTGGTGGACCTTTGTATTTGGGCTTTGGCTAATTTGGGAGGAACGAAATACAAAGAAGAGAAAGAGCCGGATCCCGCGTGATAAAGACTTCAGCCAGCAACAAATTCGGATCTTCTTTTCACGGCAGAAATAAAAGAGCTTTGTTCTTATTACTTTTTAATTCCGGGGCTAGTTGGCCGATTTTGGCCAGGAACAATCTTGTAAACTTCAAATAGCTCTTTTGCACAGCTGGTTCTCCATTAATGGAGAACTAGCTTCTCAATTCTAGTCAAGGGGACAACTGAAGATATGGTTCAACAATTACTGTGAGATCTAATTTATTTTAATTGCTTCCTTCATTTATTGGTATTCATATGTTTCCTGCTTTTAACCGTTATAGCTCGTGTGGATGATTGATTAGTGCGCAATATTTAATTATTCACATAGGCTATTTTGCTAAATAGGGGTAATTGAATCCGTAATTGTTCGTTATCTCTATCTCAGTAGCAACTGGCGTAATTGGGTTTATGTCAGGGAAACATACGATCTAACTTAAACAAACCCTCGTAGCGTGTTTGTTAGTTAGGATTGGGCTTTTCTAATTATTAATGCAATCTAGAAATTAAATCCTACGGTCGTACCTAGGATTATTTTTGGGTTAGAGAAATAGTTAACGGTCGTACCTTAACTATCGAGAAAGTAAGGAAAGGTTGGTTGTTTATCGCGTGTATGACAACTATAACCACTCTAGTAATAAATGTTGGAATTATCTTTGAATCAATGATCAGTGCGTGAACCATTTCTGAAGTGTATCCTTGGCTAGAGTTTCTCTAAGTTATTTCTTCTAATTAATTATTTTCTGCATTTAATTTCTTTAGTTAGCATTTAATCCAAGAACCCCCCATACTTTGGATTCTAGAAGAAACGAATTATCCCCAGTCCCTGTGGATTCGACCCTACTCACCGCTATATACAAAATCTGTATTTTTCTCGAGTAGGTTTTTATTATTGCACAGGTTCAGCACCTGTCAATTTTTGGCGCCGTTGCCGGGGACTGGTGCCAGATTAATTTGTTTCTTTTTGAGTTCATCTTGTTTTTATTTTTATTTATTTATTTTTCTCTTATTTTTTATTATATAGTTTATGGCTTCTAACACTCCGTATTTTGGTGATTTACTGGATTTTGTTTCCGAGGAAGGCAATGAGACTGATTTTTTTTCTAAGTTTGCATATTTAGAGGCACTAAACTCTATTAGAGAAAGAATGGCTGCTGCAACCTGTGAAATTTGTTATGCCAGGGATCATTCGACCGGTATGTGCCCCGAATATCAAGATAATCTGAGTGTCCCACTCAATAATTATGGAGATTTTTCACCATGGTCTCAAACGTGGTATAACCCTAATCCAAACGGGTATGATCAAGGATGGTGGGATAACTCCAGTTTAATTATACAACAGGGCCACTAGATTTTCAACAGCTAGAGTCTCAAGAACCGTCATCCATGTCAGGTATGTCTCTTGAAGAAATAGTTGAATTAATAGCTACTAACACATATCAAATTCAACAGGAGGTACATCAACTTCAACAGGAGACACAAAAGATGAGTGAAGAGATGAAAGAAGGAAGGCGTGAATGGGCATCTAAAATGAGCAAATTGATTTCTCCAATTTATGAAGAATTGCCCTCACCGACTATTATCAACCATGAGGAAGATGAGAGTGCAATTATTCTGACAAAGGACATGGTATTGCAAGGGTCTCAAGGAGAAGAATCTAAAGATGCAGTTGAAAAGAAAGTTGAAGCGCAAGAATTGAGACCCCAACATCAAATGGTTCAAGTGAATGAATCCAGTGAACAATCTCCAAATGCGGTGACATCTCCTCCATTTTTTGATCAATATTTTCCTGACTCTTATTCTTTAATTTCTGTTAGTGAGATTGATTTTATTATACCAGAAAATTTTGAGTTTCATGACAGGAACAAGTTAAGAGTCACGATGGCAAAATATCTCAAACCAATAAGTGCTTGTGATGGAGGAGTGAATGAAGATTTAAGGTCATTACTTGGTTGTTTGGCGCAATCTACTGGTCCATGGAAGACCGTAGCTCGTGTGCTCAAGAATTACTCTATTTACGAGGGCTATCAGGATCACATAGAAGATGAAGCACTGAAGCGAGTTACGCGATTTTATCCTCCATGAATAAACAGGACAATGTCTAGCCAAAGGCATTAAAGAAAGGCGCTGCTTGGGAGGCAACCCAAGGCTTTTGTTTTAATTTTCTTATGTTTTTGGAGTTTTTGTTAAGTGTTAGTTGCATTTAATGATTTGTTGCTTGGTGGCAGGAAAGTGGAAGTTAGACGTGCTCACACCAGGTGGTCACGCCTGAGGGAAAGAAATTTTCGTTCAGGATCTGCGGACTCTATAGCAGTTAGACGTGCCCACACAGGTGGTCACGCCTGAGGGAAAAAAATTTTCGTTCAGGATCTGCGGACTCTACAGCAGTTAGGCGTGCCCATGCTAAGTGGTCACGCTAAAGGATAAAAAAAAAAAAAAAAAATTTCAACGGATGGTCAAAAGACTAGGGGCAGTTAGGCGTGCCCACGCCTAAATCAGAGGTTCCTTAAGTAAAAAAAAAAAAAAAAAAAAAAAAAAGCTTTTACGCGCCGCCGTGCGCGCGGACCACCAGTCGCGTGCCTCCCTCTACGCGACTCAGCCGTAGTTGCCCCTTTCGCTCAATCTCCAGCTCCAGTTCACCTCCAGGCAGATCGAGCAGCAACTCAGCCGCAGCAGCGCCCACAGCGCGTGACCTCCGCGTGCTTGCCAGCGCGCGTTCGACGCATGCACGGTGCTGGGTCCTCCCCTGCCCTCCATTTCACCCACAGCCATTCAAAGCTCCGGTGAATTCTTTCTTTATTTTTCTGTCTCTAAGTAGCTGAGGCCAGATTACTAGCTTTTATTAGCTGATGCCAGATTTTAATTTCTTAGCTGAGGCCAGATTTTTGATTTGCTAGCTGAGGACAGAAAATTTGTGCTTGTTTGGGTGCTGTGGCATATCTGTGGATTGATTGTTGATTATTTGGTTAACGTTGTGCCCAACCAGTGATATTTGGGGAAAGTTTTTACTCTGACTACCTGTTTAATTAATTTTTGGGAAAAATTGCTGTGTTTACCTAATTAATTGATTTTTGGGTTGAATTTGTGGTATTTGGGGAAAATTTTGCTGCTGACAGGTTTAATTAATTCTTGAGGGTGTGTTCATCGGCCGTTTCTGCACTTGTCTGTGATTGGAAGCTGTATTTAGTTGTCATTTGCTTTGTTGGCTGTTTGTTGACCTCTTTGGAATTCCATTTCCTTGCCTCCACCTTGCCCTCTGATTTCCAATGACTAAACCAAAAAATAAGGGCAAGAGCAAATGGACACTCGTATGGAGCGGATGGAGCGTCACATGGGCGGGATGGCCCAGAATTGAGCACAGCATCTCTATCACGTGGGTCTCCGCCCGCCTTTCCCTCTCCAGCCGTAGTTCAGTTCTGCCCTCCTCCGTTTTAAGGGAAGTGTCGTTGCCCCAATATCTCTGTTTTGCTCTTTCTTTGCTTACATTGAGGGCAATGCAAGATTTAGGTGTGGGGGGGTAGTATATTGGTTTTTTATTGAAAAAGTGCAAGTGTAGGCATTTTTGTTGGAATTTTTTGTTTGACTTTGTCAAATTTTGTCCAATTTTTGCCTATCTTTGTGCTTATTTGTGATTATTCCTAATAAACGATGGTTAGATGTCTCAAATTTTTCTATTGCTAAGATTTTACACTTTAAGGTGTTGAGTATGACATGGTTGATTTTAAGGGTATCTCTTTGGCGAATATTTGAGATTTTGTGACGTTTGCACTTTTTGGTTAACTTTTCTAAGTATTGTAAATATTTGTCTAGCATTTTTTTTTTGTGCAAATTGGTTCAACTATTAATTTTAGTTCTCCATGTTTAAGAAATGAAGCGGGTTTGTGTGGTATTTAATTTTATTTTTGGTGCTTATTTATGAATAATATTAGGCTATACTCCGCTAGTATCGTTGCCTAGTAACCGGGAGTCTTCACCACAAATGTCGACTTTCGCGTCAAAAAGCGACGATAGCTATGAGTATGTGGTTTTTAAACGATG